AAAGGCACGAGGGGTTGGTTGCACTCGATTGGGAAACCGATTCGCGTAAATCCGTGATGCATCCGGGAGCATTTTGTAAAGACTGCCCCCCCGTAAATAAGAATCATGTCCACAAGTTCAGCATTTTCGTAAACATGTGCCATTTTTGATTTCGTTTGAACCACGCAACACATTACTATTCACTTACGCGTTATCGACTGACGAAAAACATCGTGATAAACGTTTCAAATTCTTTCGCTTTTTTGTTTCCGATGCGATGAACCGGTCAGGCGGATTATATCCGTTGTCGCCAAACACGAGCATATAATAGGCAGGGCGGTACTCAAACTTCCAAAGGGCTATAACTTTGTTACTTTAATTTTACCAGAAAAATGGTAAAGGAAAAAAACATTTCTTTTGATCAGATCTACTCACTGTTAAAATAAATGACTCAACTTCGAAGTATATCCCTGCAAATTAGATATTCGAACCTAGCCATAAAATTCCAAATGATTACAATGTAGCGTTCCGTAAGTAGCCGATAAACACAAAATTGGTTCAATAGGGATACCGTATACATATAATAAAATGATGGCTAGCCTGAAGTAATTATTGAATACGTTCGATCAGTAGAGGGAAGAATTGAGATTTCTAGGTTCGGCATTTTTCTTTGCAGAATCTAAATCAATTATGTACGAAAAGGAGTGAAAACCAAAACCACCTTATAATACTATTCACATTGCTGTATAACAGATCAAGTTAAAATAAAATAGACAACACCAATAGTAGAAAAACACATACATTGAGTAATATCATATCGTGCTAGTTTGGAGACATATAGTGAAGAAGGTCACTCCCCACATGGTCACGATCCTTTAAGGGAAAAAAGTAACCTGGTAATCTAAATGGCCATGTCAATTTGTGGTGTAGGTCAATGGTTTGGCAATAGTATGTACATTTTATAAAATTCCAAACATTCTAACAAAATGAAAAAGGTCATTACAGTTTTTCACTACAAAAAAAGAATCTTCAAGAAATGTTTGTATCTTAAAAACGAAGCATTACTAGGCCTGAGCTTATACGAACATTTGATATTCACGAAAAAAACAAATTTTCAAAAAAGGTTCACATCAAAGAAATCGCCGTTTAAAGTTTGGCTAGCTGCTATGTTAACCTGTATTACAAAATACTACCAGAGGCGAAATACTGTCAAAAATCGGGTACGTTAAGTTTGTTAGGTTTTTCGCCACTGTCACTGTGACACACGCAAGCAATAACTTAGAAAAAGTAGTTCACGTAATGAAACACCTATGTGGGGTGCATTTTGGGGCTGTTTTTCTTAAAAAATCATCAAAAATACGTTTAGTCAGTATTTAATGTATCATATAATTGATATGAGAAGGTAGATTTCTTCAGAAGCACAACCATACATTTTTCACTTGTGGAAAAAACTCATGCATGCGCTCATGGTAATTGGTAGAATAGTTTTCAAACAGTTGGGAACCGATAGAAGCCGTAGCATCTGTATATAATCTGAGCCTGTATGTAGGTGCACTTTGAAAATCGATTAATAAATAGTATAGTAAAATGAGCACAGTTTTAAAAAATACAATCCCGACTGCAGCAACTGGAAAGGATGTATTTATCATTGTGCTATCAAGACGAATCTAAGGTCACCTCAAACGTCAAAATCCATCAAGCCGTTTCGTCTGCAGCCCGTGAAATATAAACTTCAAGGTTGAAATATACGAGGGCCGTTTGATAAGTCAGTGACTTTTTGAATTTCCCGCGCAGTAACTTTTAATGCAACACTGCTGCCGTCAACTGCCATCTCTTATATGACAACTGTCAAAATTTGAACATGCTATGTCATTTCATTTGAGTTTGACAGCCGTTGAAAGTAGACAGTCTCATAAATTCTAACAAAAATAGAGATAAGTGAATTTCGTGTTCTAATTAAACATTATCTTTTGCGTTAAAAACCATCACTGCAACCAAGGAAAGGCTTGACAAATACTATGGGGACTCTGCACCATCTATTTCAATGGTGAAGAAGTGGTTTACTGAGTTCCGTTGTGGTCGAACCAGCACAAGTGATGCCGAACGTTCAGGTTGCCCAAAAGAGGTCATCACACCAGAAATCGTGGATAAGATCCATGGGATGATATTGGAAGATCGGAGAATAAAAATACGTGAAGTATCTGAGGCTGTAGGCATCTCTACTGAGCGGGTACATCACATTTTACATGAATACTTGGACATGAAAAAACTATCCGCGAGATGGGTGCCGCGATTGCCCACAATCGACTATAAGCGCAACCGTGTGATCATTTCAAGGGAATGTTTGGAGATGTTCAGCCGCAATCCGAACGAAAAAAAAATTGCTGTTCCATCAAGACAACGCACGGGTACACTCGATGGCAAAAATTCATGAACTGGGCTACGAACTCCTGCCCCATCCAGCCTATTCTCCAGATTTAGCCCCCAGCGACTAATTCCTATTTCCAAACCAGAAAAAATAGCTGGGTGGTGAGAAATTTGGGTCAAATGAAGGGGTCATCATTGAAACAAACGCATATTTTGGGAGCCTTGATAAAAACTACTATTCGGAAGGAATTAAGAAATTGCAAAAACGCTGGACTAAATGTATCGAGCTAAAAGTGTACTATGTTGAGAAATAAAATGCTTATTTGCCGAAAAACATTTTTTTATTTAAAAAGTCACTGACTTATCAAACAGCCCTCGTAACATCCGTCACGAAATTTGGATTACCTCGTGTCATTCGGACTGTCAAAACAAATCTCGAGACGCATCGTATGTCAAACTCCTTCATGTCGCTGAAGATGTAGCCCGTCAAATACAAATTACAAGCTTGAAATTTAAGACAATCACCCGTTTAAATATTATGAAATTTTGAAATAGCCAGTGTCACTTCCACTGCTAAGATGGATCCAGCAACACCTCATATGTCAAATCCATCAAGCCGTTCAAGGTGTAGCCTGTGACATAAGAATTTCAAGGTCGAGTTTTTCTAGTAGAATCCGCCATTTTATTTTTATAAAATTTCATTATAGCTAGTGTCACTCGCGCTACTAAAACGAATCCAATGACATCTCATATTTGTACGTCAAAATCATTCAAGCCGTTTAATGTTAACCCTTGGGATATGAGTTTCAAGGTTAAACTTCTTTCTTACAATCGTTGTTTGCTATAAAATTTTGTTATAGCAAATGAATCCCACGACACCTCATATGCCATTATTCATCAAGCTGTTTGGCCTGAAGCCCATGAAACAGAATTGTTTTGGTTACATTCAGACCCGTGCACAAAAAGCTTTACCCTCCTTCTGAGGTCGTCCGATAATAAAACTTCATCTTTTTCAGGCCAAATAAAGCCGCATAGGTAGAAATTACTTTTTAGTCACAAAGTAAAGATCGACATACTATTATTTTATATATTATGCAATAAATTGATGTTTTCATAAATACCGAATATTTTGACGTGTTTTATACAATTTTGAACAACTGAGCAGACGTTAATGTATACGTCATGAAACCTGTAGCTCAACGCAAGAGCGACCTTCTCCACCAATGAAGCATAAACAAGACAACACGTATCACAGGCTATCTGCATCCGTGCCGCAGTTTAGAGTGGATGTGGATACCTTCACAGAATCGTCCATCGTCGAGCGCTGAGGTCACTCTTGGGTAGCACGACTGTAGATCCGACCTCACACTGCGAGGTCACTAGTTGAGGACTAGGTTGAGGTCCCTAACATCTCGTCGGGCTGTCAAAGTCGAATGTGAGACAGAACAGGAGCAGCGTTGAGATCACTTGGCTAGAACGATTGTAGATCCGACCTCACGCAACTAGGTAGCCAGGTGAAGACGAGGTTGAAGCTGCCGGCATCCCGTCAAGTCGAGTGTGAGACTGTACCAGGTCACTTGTCTAGCACGGTTGTAGATCCGACCTCAAGCAAAGAGGTCGCCAGGTAATGATACCGTCATCCCGTCAGATCGTCGAGATTTCGATAAAAGTCGAGCGTGGAACTGTACCGGGAAAGCGCGCGTACATGTCAGCGGGTCGATATGCACTGACTGGACTCACCGGATCGTCCTCCCTAGAGGAGTCGGGGGACTCCGGTATCCGGATTGTAAGGCTAATGCGGCGCTGCGGCGAATGCAATGCTGCCAGATTGTGCTAGACTCTCCGGGCAATCCTTTTCGTTTAATGTATCCCCATTTACTTTTTTACAAGCTTTTATGTGTAGGATAGATCTTAAAACTGAATTTTGAGTCAGTTTACCGTAACCAATTGAGCTGAAATTTTATACAAATGTTTAGTTTGCGTGATGATACAAAATGAATCAACTGCCGCTCGTTTTGAGTCCAATATGGCGAATGCTACAAAATGGCGATTTATCATTTCCATAGTAGCCCCTGTGTTATGAGCATCAAATGGAAGGACTTGCTGAGAGGCACACAATGAGCAATGTGACGTCATTCTGAACCTAATATCGGACCCGCTGCAAAATGGCGATTTATGTTTTTATGCACAATGCAATATGGCGACCGCTGCAACATGGAAATTTATATTTGGTACAATCACTAAAAAATAAAAAATAAATAAATCACAAAGTATATTTTTAAAGACAAGCTTTCATTGGGCTGATAATAAAACGGATCAGAAATTTAAAAATTATTTTTTTCCGATTGAAAATACTTAAGCGATAATGAAGCTATTCGTCTCAAATTTTCAAATGAATGCGTATTACGTTCTGAGAGCATGATTGAACAGTTGCTAGTATCATATCTATATATAGCTTTAGAAAACATTCAATTTTTGACCTACTAACAGTTATATTAAGATTCCGATATTTAATCTATCCATACATCCATACATAGCCCAGAAGAATTAGGCAACGTTATCGTCAAAAAAGAAATTTCAACAATGAGAATTTTCGATCTTAAGATAGTTTTGACAGAAATATGTTATATTTCAGTCAAAAGACCAATCAGATATCAACAACCAACTAGTGACAAATAGCAATTCGGTAAGTTGTTTGAGATCATAGTTTATAATACGTGTTACTGGTCGGTCAAGGTTGCAATCTCTGTCAATCAGCATGGATTCATGAGCGGCAGATCTACGGTTACCAACTTGACCCTGATTACTCAGTATATCTCCCAAGTATTAGACACTCGGGGGCAAGATGATGTAATCTATAGAGATATTCAGAAGGCATTTGATCAAGTTGATCATTATGTACTTCTGAATAAGCTTAGGACCGTATTTCTATCTGAGGGACTGTTGTCGCTCCTGATTTCATACTTGATGGACAGAAGGTTTTTTGTTGAATATGGTGGTTATAGGTCGAGTTATTATCAGGCCACATCTGGGGTGCCTCAAGGATCGAATCTAGGCCCATTATGGTTCCTGATCTTTATTTAGCGGTTTGTCTCTTGATCTCAAGTGTTTGCATCTGTTTTTTTGCTGACGACGTTAAGATTTACGCATCGGTCGAGTCAATTGATGATTGTCTCATGCTACAGGATAATTTAGACTTAATTTCTTCATGGTGCTCGCGAAACTGTCTTAGTTTAAATGTCTCTAAATGTAAAGTTGTGTCTTATACAAGGAAGACTAATTATTTATTATATGATGATTATAACGTCAACGGTCAGGTGCTAGGAAGATGCTACTCTTTTAAGGACCTTGGAGTAACCTTTGATAGCAGGCTAATGTTTAGCGAACATATACTTAATATCTCATCGGCTGCCACCAGACTACTTGGCTTCTGTATCAGAAACTGGAAGGGGTTCTCCATTGTCAGTACTTTAATGACTTTGTTCGTTACTTTTGTCAGAAGCAAGTTGGAATATGCAACCCTGATCTGGTCTCCAATATACCTAAATTCAGTTTCAATGATTGAAGGCATTCAACGTAAGGCTGTTAAGTATTTTTACCTTAAATGTACTGGTTCTTATCCAGAAAGAGGTTTTTGTCACCATGCCCTTTTGAATTTTTTCGATTTAGATTCACTATCAGTTAGACGTAATATGTTTGCCTTATCATTTTTATATGGCCTTATGCACAATCAAATTGACTGTCCGGATTTACTTGAAAAAATATCTGTCCGCATTCCAAGGCTTGAAAGTCGCCAACAATCAGCCTTTTCTTGTCAAGCAGGTCAGATGAACGTAATGTTGAAATCTCTTATTTTTGTAATGTGCAGTCTGATGAACTCTATTTGTGATCTGTGCGATATTTATAATGACAGCTGTAAATCAATCATAAATTGCTCTATAAGTCATCGATTGTCCTCTGAGCTTACTTAGGCCAATTGATGCTAAGTTTAAGTTTTCAATGTGTCTCTTTATTTTCTTTTTGTTAATGTATCTGAGCTTTTCCTGTAATTGGGTTTTACCTGTAAGAAATATAAATAAATAAATAAACACACATCTCTTTGTAAATAACTTATATTTACAGTGTTTTCCAAGAAAGACGAATTAATGTTGAAATGGAATAAAACATGCGTTGGAGTGTTAATGAAATTCTTTTTTATAATCGTACCATGTAAGCCATCTTGTATGGAATATAACCGCTTCGCCTTCACAAAGGGGCACTGATTCAAGAGGTCTACTTTTCAATGACTGCCGCGTAGGTTAATTTGAGTAGTTGTCTGTTCTACTTTGACTTGGAAGGCATTGTTATTTTAAAAGGCACTGCTCGACAACTCTAACTGATCAAACGGCCAATTTATGTATTTCATACAGAAAGTCCATTAGGGCATCCGCTGTGTCACACGTGGTCTATTGAAACAACATCTCATTCATGTCTATGATATCGTGAAATTTGAAGCAAGTGAAAAGTAAACCATAGAAAGAGGTGGACCTTTTTCCTTTATCTCAATCACAAGACTGTTTCTATGTAAGATGTGAAACTTATCCCGTGGTTTTCATGCTGCCGATATCCCATGTTTCTCTGTCCGTCAAACGTAACCACATATGTTTGAATTATTTCTTATTGACACGACGTTCCGGCCACCGCGGTGGCGTTTTCCAAGTGAAAATGGCAATTCTGATGACATTATACTTTGTCTATCTGTCTTCCAGGTAACAGATTGTTTTTTTTTCACATACAGTGTGCTACCACAACAGTCTGAACGGTCCTGTAACATGCTGAGATTGCGCCAAGCGATCATTGCTATTGATGGCACCTCGTAAAACCAGCAAATGCCAGATCCGCCTGGGGTACGCATTCCCGCTCCCAAAAAGATTTACAGCTTCCCAAAGCGACAAACAAACATAAGGTTATGTGTCGTTTTTTTACCAGACACGTCACCCTCGACCATCGTCCCAAAACGCCAAAAATCGAAAATATCGAAAATCTACCAAACACTGTTGTCGCAATATACGGGCACTACTTAAGAAACTAAAATGCGAGAAATAGAACCACTTCATCATATGTGGCTTCATTTAGCGGCCAGACAAACATAGAGGATTATCGTGTTTCTTTTTGTTCTGTATTTATTTATTTCCTAGCCTATTATCGTATATGATATATATAATATTTGATAATAGTAGAAGGTCAGCGTCTCTTGCAGTTTCATCATTATTTCCAGAAGCAATCACCTAGCATTCTAACCTTACGATCTAACCTAAAAATGTCTCCCACGTGCGCGTGCGACCAGCTGCAACGTCTGAACTTTGTGAAGGATGAGAGAGAAATTCATTATTCAGACAGAACCAGACGCAAAAGTTGCGGAAAGCCAAATCGAAGTCGACCTCGAAGAAACTACACGACCAGTTGTTGTCTCTTCGGTAAACCCGCTATTCTCCGTGGAACTCTGCCCGAGACTCAGTGTACAGGAGGTTGGTGAGTCGAAGAAGCTATACTACAGAGTGGTTAAAAAAACAAAGACAATAATTTTTTCATTGTATGTAGAAGAGATGCAAGTGTTTTATGCGTATTATTAGTAGTAATCAAACCATTCTTTATCAAAAAAATCTCAAAGAATTACGTAAAAACAAGTGCTTACAAACAGCACTACAACCCTGGGTAGCTTATGGCTGACTTCACAATTTGCCTCCTTCATCTGATGCGGTCTTCCATCACTTCGGGGTAAAAGTTTGAGTCCATTTTTGCAAAGGTGCTGAGGCGTTGGTATTATCTCTCTAGCTCAGGCGGGGATTCGCCATACCAAGCCTAAGGACACGCCTATGATATTCACCTTGGTCCAGATTGCTGTTGCAAATTTTACCAGTAGATTAAAAAAGTCAATGCTTATAATAGTAGTGACAGAAGTGATATAAAATGTTTATAATCAACAGTTTTTTTGCCTGGATTGTTCAACATTACCAGGTCAATCATTTCGAAAATCGGTTATAATAATACTAATGAAATTTAGTGATAATTGCCTCCATAAATTTAGTAAAAGAGTTCTTGAATGTATAATAGTAATATCACAATACCTCATAAGTGACAGTTGACACTAAAATAAAACATTTAAACCTAACATACTCAAGTAAAATATTGCTTATCTTCATTTTATAGGCTGTAATTTTTTTCATGATCTTTTGCAAAACATAATTCCTTAAAAATGTAAATGTAAAGCTTTGCATATTTGTAAGATAAATACTTATACCATGTCAAACGGCAAGAAATACGACGTCGCTTAAATGGGAGCAAAGTTGAGTATTTAGGTAACTAATGAAATGCCTTTTAGAAAGCTTTGAAATTCAAAGTACTTTCGAAGAGAAAAACCGAAAATTTCCGAAATCGTTTTAATTTTTTACTGACTTTATTTGAAGTGGAATTTCAAAATAATTTGCACATTGACAATGCCGCTTTTTCTCCTCTACAAGATGGCATAATTAGAATTCCAATATGACGTTTCGTGTCTGGTCCTAGTATCAACTCTGTTTTTTCTTAAGGACGCCATTATTGTATTTTTGTACAAGTAAATAGAGTTTCTAATTATGATTCCAAAAATGTATGATACGTCACACATTGACATCGCCAATGCCTAGTTGTCAAAAAAAACAGACGTTCCTAGATAGGCCTTGAAATTATTAGGCAGTGATTTGTTTCGCATAGGTACCAGATTTATCATAAAAGCATTTTATTTTTTCCTGGCTTTACTTGAGATGGGATTTCAAAATGAATTACATGTTGTGGTTGCCACTCATTCTCCTCTCTCGATTCGAGGTTTCTTCTGTCGACTTCCAGCACCACTTTGTTTTTTCATATGGACGCTATATTGAAATTTTGTACATTTAAATGGACTTTTCAGTCCTAAATTCAGTGATGTTCGTCATGAATTTGTTGTAGGTACGAAAATTATAAGGAAATAAAGAGGTATGGCAGAACCTGAACAAAAAATGAAAGTTTTATTGACGGTAATAACAATAATAATCGTGAATAAGCAGTGGTAAATCATAGCATATGTACAAAATGTTGTTCGGTATTTTGTAGGCAAAGCCCGACACCTCCTTGCACATTGTTTATTGTTCGATTTATTTCCCTTCTTCTCGATCTTCCAAACTCTGTTACTATGTTCAATTTGAGGTGGTCTGGTAAACGAAACAGATGAATATGATAATTTTAATTCCTACCGAGGAAATTCTGTTGTTCTGGAATAGCTGAGGTTTGGCAATGTCAATGTATGACATATTATATATTTTTGGAATCAGAACTAAAGACTATATTCATCTGTGCCAAAATCCCATATGGCGTCTATAAGAAAAAATGACGTTAGAGGACAAGAGACGAAACGTCGTATTGAAATTCCAATTATGTCATATAGTAGAGGAGAAAAAATAGCAATGTTGATGCGTTTATTTTAACATCCCAATACAAATAAAATCAGGAGATAATTAAAATTGTTTTGGAAAAATTCGCTTTTTTTCTGTCTCTATCTGGAAGTATTTTGAACTTTCTAAGCGGCATTTCGTGAGTTATCAAAATAATATATGCAATTTCGCATTCATTTAAGCTACTTCGTATCTCTGACTGTTTCATAATTCCCAATAATGAGGGTCGAATTTGAAACGCTCGGTACGTATTTAAACTAATTGCCTAATGGTTAATTTCGTTTTGCTTTGCCAACCTATGCAAAAATCAAGCCCGGATACAGCCAGCAACCTGCCCGCAGCAAAAGCACCCGCTATGAAACTGCAGATTTGCTTCGGAAATGGAAAGGTAACGGTAAACGACATTGACAACGAAAACCAATTTTGAAAATTCAATAAAAGTTTGAGAAAAGAATTGCGTAGAAAATATTTTTCTTTTGCCTTCTGTTAGAGACAAATCTCGCAGTTTCTACGCCACTGCTGCAGTTTGAGCCTCAAAAAAAATTATTTGAATTGACTATTAATCAACATAGATTGGAAAATTTCATAGCAAAAAGTGGTTAGAATTATTTTTTTGAAATGTTGTGCAAGTTCAGTTTTTATCCAGAATTTCTGAATAATGACAACTAATACATTTGAATTTTCCGAAAGATTTAAAAAAAAACGACGAGTTTTTCATTGAACGCCATCTAGCGGATAAAAAAAGAACTAAGCGGATTAAACTGGGCCTCCATTAGAAATGCATACCTATCAAAACCCTTCTAAATGGGATAAATGGATAACGCTAATCATAAGATTCAATACTCTTTCTGAAATGATATCGGACCTTTCCCCCTCCCTAAACCAATCGAGTTACAAAAAAGCATCCATTTTAAGAAGCTGATAATAATTTTCAGCAATTTCTCTGTTCCACTTTCCTGATATTTTTTTTTACCGGCACCTCTAGATTGACCGATTGACTGGTTGCCTAGAGATACAGCAGGTGACTCTATTAACGGCCCGCCCATTACCTTTACTTGTATAATTATATTATTTTTGTTTATCTATCGCGCAGGGTCATCTCAGTAAGCTGTGTCCCCGCTTCTGTTCGGTGACATGGCACCCCACCCCTGCCAGCCAATCACAATCACTTGAAAATGTTCCGGCGTTGCTATTGGCCAAAAAATTGCGAGGTTACGGTCACGACTTGCTGCTTCACCTGGCCGGCAGGAACTTGAGGCGGTACCAAGTAATCGATGTGTTAGAAAAAGCTAGGAGGTGTGGTATTAGGAGAATATTCGCTTTACAAGGAGGTAAGGAATCATCGATATATTGTAGTTGTACGTATTTCTCTTGAATCGTGAAACAACAAAAAACTGAATACTAAACGTTACCAAGGCTTTAACAAACTCAAAGGTATGTGTGTGCTTTTCGAGTACCTATTTGATCACCATTGGATGTAATAGAGGAAATATGGTGGATGGAGCGAATATTGAAAAAAACTCATATTTTACTTTATGGTTTTTACAAGTTAATGATAATTCAAGCAGCTTTGATAAATGTTGCTGGTCTAATCAAGATTAACCTACAATTCCCCAATTGATTTGAACAGTCGTATTCAAAAACGTTAAGTGTTCTAGTACCTACTAATAATACTTTTATCGTTTTGACTTTGGCGAGGAAGTATTGTGTTTTGTTATTACAAAAAAGAAATCGAAATAATATTTTTGGATGCTACCTGGAATACAGGTAGATCGTGATGAAAAACCATGTTACTCAGATCCTAGGCTGGATTTAGAAATATGTCCAGGGGGCCAGCGCTGGTCGAGGCATTCATGTTTGGGAAGATGTTCGTCCATCTCGAGGGGTGGCGTAGATTAAAAATTAAAGAGCAAGGAGATGGCTGCATGCTTGAACACTTGAGCAGGGCTTCTGGGAGCAAATGCCCTTGTTATAATCGAAGATCGAGGTGCGGGGGTGGGATACGTCTCACGATTCAGGACTAGCAGAGTACTTTTTACACTAAGATACGTCAATACAAATATATAGTATAGTTATCATAAAAAAATGGCAGACTCGGGCGCCTTAGGGAAGGATGCGCCCTCCTCTCCCCCTGTAAATCCGCCAATGCTCATATAATCTGACGTTCTGTTTGTCGGATAATCCGTCTATAACATAACCCGTAAGATGGTGTTCGGATTTTGATAACATTTTGATATAAGGTTACGTCATATCAAAAAGGAAACCTTCGTAGACTTAGAAAGTAGTTCCAGGTTCCAGCGGCAATGAGATTATAAGCGAAAAAAGTAAATAATTCAAAACATTATCAAACCTGGTTTTTTGGGTTTTTGATAACTTTTTGGAAGTAGTCAAAACAACACGTGTTCGGGGAGCCTAAATTTTGAAGAAATCCAAGTTCCGTGTTTCGTAATTCTCAACTGTATGGCCTGTTTAGGGCGTGTGAACAGAACATGGTGGCACTTGAAACTATTTTAAACCTGACATCGTCCAAAGAACCAGATAATTTTCTGCCCCATGGGTTTAAATTTCTTTACTGACGTTTCGGCTACCACAGTGGCCTTTTTCAGAGTACAACGACCAATGACATATATATTTTACTTATCACTAATGACGTTCACAATTTTCGTGTATTCATCGAATTTCGTCAACGCGTAGAAAGTACGGATATCTATTCGATATCATCTTTAAGAGTCATGTAGTATTTTTTTGTTATACCTAGACAAAGAACCTACCTTTCATTTTTATCTAATATTCCAGATCCAAGTCGAATCCTAGAACATGACGATAGTAAATGTGATTTCCCGTATGCTGCAGATTTGGTCAAATTCATAAAATCTAATTATCAAGAAACTTTTAGCATAGGTGTTGCAGGATATCCCGATTGCCATCCGAAGTCTAAAACGATACAGATGGATATACAGTATTTAAAACATAAGGTATTTTATGCATGTTTTCACAAATGGACCATATACTCGTAGCATATAGTTAAAGAGGGTGTTGAGCATTATGAGTACTTTTATCTGAACCATATCTAAATCCAAGACGTCTTAAGCTGCATTTTTGTTGATTATCATATACTACCTAAAGATAGCCAAAAATGGATATGAAAGTTTCCCACGCCATCTATGAGACTATAACATAACACAAAAATGAATGTATAAATCTACCTTGGAAAGCTTTATTAGTGTTTAGTTCTGATACTTTTTCATAATATATCGCGCTTGGATGTTCAATCGCTTCTAGTGCCTCTCTAATGGCTATTTTAATTGGGTAGCTTCAGGCATCGATTAACGTGTTCTACCTAGGGAAATTCAATTGAAAATACGCATTAGAGGGGCAAAAAGGGACTGGAGAACCTAGCTCCATCTATGAGACAGTAGCTGAACCAAACAATCTAACTCTTCTGAAATGGACATGTTTGCTTTCCGTCTCCATTGTAACCATCACCAATTGCAGACATCGCTGTTGAGTGCTCATTAGCAAATCAGTGCGGTATAGATCTTAGGTCTAGTCAGAGAGATAAACAAAATGAGAAGCAAACAAGTGGGTACGGTGTTTTGAAAAAATCAAAACATTGTGCGTAGGTGAGTGAAATTCTATCACTGTCGAGTAGCGAACGTAAGGTTCTCCCTATCGTCTTCATCGTATGAGATGCGGACGAAAATGAGGTTTGCGAACCATAGGTAGGTAGCGTTTATCAGATTTTTGTCAGGTCCCTTTTTGAACGCTGGAACACCATGATCAGCTGTATCTTCGGGTATAATTAGGGCGCCTTCTGACGGTAAGCAAATAAGCTACGTCAAGGCGCAGTGTCATGGGGTGCGCATAATTCTCAATGAAGGAGAAGAACGCATAATTTAAATTTTACCTCTCAGGTCGCCAAAACTCTGAGTCTGACCCTGGCTAGAATACGTTAATCAATGGCGCAAACTGACAAACACATTAACCGTAATTATAGAACTGGATCGCTAATAGCATATGCAGTCGACAAGATGTCATTGCAAGTTCTAGCTGTACAAGTGTATAATTCCTCACATGACTCCATGTCTGTGCTTAGATCTACTCTACCTTGAATTTGGATGTGGTTTAGATATCCTGAAGCCGCCATTTGATAACTTATGTTCCTTCAGGTGGAGTGTGGAGCAGACTTCATAATAACCCAGGCATCCTACTCCTTCAATTCGTATAAAAATTTCGTCAAAATTAGCAGATCTTCGGGAATCCACGTGCCTATCATCCCAGGGATGTTCATTATCAAATCTCATAGGTCTCTGTTAGCCATCTCAGAATTTTGCGCTGTACCAATACCTCCCGATATTTTAAGAGTAGTCTCAAATATTAAAGGAAACAACGAATCTATACTTAATTTTGGAATGGATTTTGCTATAGAACTAACTAGAAAATTCTTATCTCGAAGAGATTTGTTTGAGAATGTTCATTACTTTTGTTTAAACGATCTGAGTATAGTGGAAAGAGTTATTAAAATTTTGGGGATATATGATAACTACATGGAGCGTCCAATTGTAAATTTGGAAAATAAGTTTATAAAGTATTTTAAAGAAGAAAATAGGATTCAATGATGTGAAGGTTATTAGGAAATGTTCCAGTGTAGAGAAGTGGATCGGCAGATTGAGAATTTCTTTTAGATTACAATGGAAAATGTCTACAACAATCAGTATTTTGTATAGATTTTATAGAAATACAATTATGTCTGCCACTTGTATTTTTTTTTCATTTATAGGTTAAATACTTTAGGAAATGTGAGGACAGGATGGTTATGAATAAAAATCTATTATTAAAAATTAGTGTTTATTAGTGTTTTAGCAAGAATGTAATACACCTTCTGAAAGACCCTAAGTCCAATAAGAGGCCACCGTTTTGCACCTCGTTTTTACTCTGGCGGTTTAAAAAGTTGCATCAGTCGGTTAGAATAAAACTAGTATAACATATCTTTGAAAAGTCCATCACTACGTCAGACGGCTACACTATAGTTGTAGTCACCGTTCTTGAAGGTTACGTCATCAACGCCATATGAAATAAGTAAACAGATCGAGTCTCCATACCATGGGTAACAGAGTACCTCTGTTTTCGATCTCTTCCTGGAAATACTCTAATAAATTTAGCAAGAGCCGCCGGCCTTCTCAATTGATCGTATTTCCAGGCATTATACAATTTTATATTGAAGACCGATAAGTCAAGTAAGTTGTCACTCTGACAAATATGACTGAAGAGCACTCATACGTAACGACTAGTGGTGTTGAAAAAGTAATCATACGAAACTCGAGTACTCGTTACTCATAGATACCCGAAGTAACGAGTACCAATCCGAGCACGAAATGATTATTTTGATTACTCTGTTTGCCGTATCCGTACCCGGTACCTGTACAATCGTTGATCGTTGAGTGTAGATCGGAGACTGTAGCACTGCCGCTCATGCATCAGGGTTGCCGTACATCCCACATTCAGGTGGAAACCTGGAAACTAATTTTTTTTGTTTTGTTTGGCGGACATAGAATTTGGTAATTGTTTTTAAATCTCAAGTTTATCTATTTACACCGTGACACAAATTCGCTTTTATTGTTGTGATCTTGGGAACCTGAAAAGGAATAAGGAGTCGATTGGATCGGATCAAAGTTCGGCAATATTATGAGGCATAAAAGCGACAACAAGGGAACACTACCGTTCAGGAAAACCACAATAGTAGAAGTTATGTCAGTTTGACTCGTGTTTCCATGCACTGTTTTGCTAAAAAAAATATAATTCAGTATGACCACCAATAGTATGTGTAGACCAAGCTCAACGTTGAATTTTTTATACTGGTATATGCTTAATTGAAATGCTTCGAAAAGTAACATGCCATTCCAAATTTCCTTAAGCCCATAAAATCATCTTTCTGACTAAAAGACATGTTTTTAAGTATTTCGAATAAATACAAAGTATTTTCAGTTTGTAGGCTCATATGAGTCAGATGACACTCCATCCTATGATAACTCATCTCGATAAGCATAAAGTTTGAAGATACAATGTTTGCATTAAACACGATAGTCTTGAATAAACTATGCTTATAACATTTTGCAAATTTTAAGGTCATCTATTTTCTTACAAATTCGGTTCCATTCAACTTGTTTAAATTCGACATTAATCACACGACGCACATTGCCAAATCGTTATACTCATACTACTCATAGTAATCAAAGTAACGAATACAATGAACGATCACTTTGCAGAAGAGTAACGTTTAGTGACGAGTACTCGAAAGTGACGATAATCAACACAACTAGTAACCCAAGGTTGTATTAAAAAAAATATAGTATATTTTTTGAAGATCACATCTCTATTTTGCATCGGACCCACAGGCAACCGTTCTTGCACTAGCCTGTTTCAAGGGTTGCCTGGTGTTGTATAAGGTGAAAGTGCTCTCATACATTTTCGTTTATTATAAACAAATTTTAATACCGGAAGCACATTAACAAATATTGACTTTATCTTAACAAGAATCCACTGCATTTTCTTGCACCAATAGCGCCTAAAGGAAGTCAATGACCTAAGACCAATCGTTCCTTATTCACCTAAATACGGGCATGACGTCATTAGGAAGGCGCGTCACATATGATTTTCTTTTCTTCTGTCAAGCTGTAGCGAATTTGGAGTGTAGTTCCTTATTAAATTATGAGCTTTCACAAGAATTGTGGAAGGGAAATGTTACAAAGTTATGACGAATAAGATACTTTGTTTAAAGATGATCTAATTCCACGGTAAATCGCTCAACAGAATAACATTGTGATAATATGCGACGAAAATCCCACGGAAGAACTTTCTACAAGTGAAACAAGTGTTATGATAAATTGTTAGGTATTCTGTACAAATTATCGTATAGTTGTATAGATTTTGTAATCTATATCGTTGAAAATGGGTCTGTTATTTGCTAAATTGTGGAGTCTTTTTGGAACTGAAGGTAAGTGGTCATTTAGAGGTTATTCAATATCGAAAAGCTGTTTCATATTTTTGTAAATATGGTACTAAAAATATTTCTGGAAATTACCAGTCTAAAAACCACTTATAGCACCATCCTATAACACTGAACTAAGTAGATAATTTGAATGGGAATATTTGCTGATGTTATGTCCAATATTCTACTCAGTCTTTTGTATAACTTTCCATGGACCAAAATGTGAAACAGTTTTGTTCCTTGTAACAGGAAGATTCATATTCAAAACAACAAAGCTTCAAGTCTAACCTTGCATTAAAACTTAATAATTGTCCCCATATTGAAGACAAAAATATATTCAAACCTTGCCTTGTTGAGGTCTTTGTCTAACATCAGGTACAAGAAGTATTTGCCTTATTACAGAACATGAAAAGTTTCTAGTATAGGTCCTAAAATGTGCCATTAACCAAGATACAGTGTTCTAAAAATGCCTATGTTGCTGATGAGATTAAGAACAAAACATGAATATTCTTCACCTAATGCTGTGGTGAGGTGGGATTACTCCACTAATATAATATTAATAATAGTACATACCTTTCTTAATTTGAAACAGCACTTATTTCAACATATGAGTATAAATTAAAGGGCAATACAAGTATCAGAAAAGTCAGAGATCACGAAAATATTTTTCTGTTCTTTCCTGAAAAGGTAAACATCTACACACACCATGCACTGGTATAATTAGAGCTGCAAATCTTCCTTTAAAACTGATCTAGACTGTTGGATCTTTAGTGGGTTTTTTGTTTTCAGAGCATAAAATTGTGATTGTTGGACTTGACAATGCAGGAAAAACCACAATTCTGTATCAGTTCCTCATGAACGAAGTTGTACATACTAGCCCTACAATAGGTTCAAATGTTGAGGAGGTCGTTTGGCGAAATATACATTTTATAATGTGGGATCTTGGTGGGCAACAGTCACTTAGAGCAGCTTGGAGTACTTACTATACCAACACGGAGGTAAATTTATGAATAATATAGTACCTTTCTTTAATTCAACCATTTGGCTAGATCAAACAGTATAAAGACCATAAAATAATAAAGCCTGAAAATTACATTATTATGCAATGTTCTTTGCAACAGAACTGTCTCAACATCTGTTAAAGTAAGGCAACACAAAACACCATCTCTTACCAAAATCAACCACTGTGGGAGTGAACAGCCACTATCAGTTGGAACTATAAAGGTTTCAGTTTGTGTTTAATGACCAAGTCATCACTGTGACTGCTACATGCTCTCATTTTTTTTTCATATTTTTGCCTCAGCTCTGACTTTAGGGTTTCTTATAATATGGGACTTACAACTAAACATACAGCTTTTGCCCGGCCAACATTCAATAGTGAGTACACTACATCTACTATACAACCAGAATTGCTAGCCTCTAGCAGTCACACTGGAGACTGGGCTATTAAACATGAATTGAGACACTTACAACTGATAGGTGCTATACACTCTTGTAGTGGTTGATTCTGGTAATAGATAAAACTTTTTCCTGTATTATTTTGATAAATATTATGCCTTGAATTGAGAGTAGTTCATTAAACTTTCACTCATTGTCCCAGTGACCATGCCTATGGGTTTCCAAAAAGCATGAAACAGCTGTTGATGGTTGACTGTCTATAGTCAAATGGTCGAAAACAGCATCTTCAATTTCTCAACTTTATAATCCTTAGATGACTCTTACCTTAGTGCCTCTCCAAAAACAAAAAAAGAATATGTGTATTGTTATTACTGCAGTGGTAATTTTTTTCTTAATTGTTTGATCAACAATGAATTTCTGCAAACCTAATTTGTTCATAAAAAACTATAATGTAAAAATATACAAATCTAGTACTTTTGAAATACATTTATCAATTTCAGTTTGTGATAGTAGTGATAGACTCTACAGATAGAGAAAGACTACCTCTGATAAGGGAAGAGCTATATAAAATGCTAGCACATGAAGAGCTATCAAAAGCGGGAGTTTTGGTATATGCCAATAAACAGGATGTTAAAGGTTCCATGACAGCTTCAGAGATCTCAAAAGAGTTGGACCTGACATCTATCAAACAACAACAGTGGCATATACAGTCATGTTGTGCACTCACTGGTGAAGGGTAAGTAGGCATATAATGCAGTTGTGGCATAAAATATTTTTAATTTTTCTAATATCATGTTTGTTAGATGTGCTAGTGAAAATTTGTGTAAACAATTTACAAATTTGATTTATTTGTCTTATTTTTTTCTACAAAAAATTTCTTTAGTAAATTCTCTATAAAACCTACGTATTCAAGTTATGTGATTTAAATTCTGAAAACCCTTGAAAATAATCACTGCTTAAAAATTATTAAATTCTGTTATTTTTGAGGTTGCTAGGTGTCAAAATCAAAGTTCATGACTTCCTCTACAAGACTCTGGCGAGTCTTTGTATTATTAGTCTATTTCAAAGCATTGTTATTTTATTGTTAATAACACTGTAAGACATGCCCAGCCCTTTGAACCTATTTTACTTAGAATACATTTTCCTTGCACCGCTTGTATACATTTAGTTTGTTCACCTTCAAAAACATTCACCCAGATATATCTTATCTTGTATTCAGATCATTTTGTTGCTATAATTTCCTTTCCATCAGCTTGAGTATAAAAAGGCATGGTTAACCTTGGTTTTTATTGAATATTTATAGTACTAACAATTTATTATTATTCAACCATGATGTACACAGTTTCAAAATATTTTTAAACAGTATATCCTGAAACTGGTTGGAGGCATTGACTTTTTATGGAAGTACAAAAATGATCATTAACCTTCCTTTTTCCATTTACTATATATAGCTGCATGTAGTTTCTTTGCTATACAAGCGATTACCCTGTTTTTTCTTCTAGTTTGTACCAGGGTTTAGAATGGATTGTCAGCCACCTCAAGAAAAAATGACGATGTAACCACATCACCTTTAGGAGTAACTTAATTCATTAAGTGCAGTTTGTAATATACTTGAGGTATTTAACTATTATGTATATCAAGGACCGTTTCTCACATTGAGAATGAATTTGCTATGTAAAGACAATTCCCTTCCAAAAATGACAGTTTAATATGAACTCAACGCCAATCACTCTGTAAAAGATGAAATTTTTTTTGTCATTAGTGAAATTCCATTTATTGTGATTTAAAAAATGTGCCTCACTTAAAATTATTTTCATTCAGTTCAATTAAAAAACTGTAAAGTATTTCACTACTATTCTGATCTTTTCTTGAAAATTTTATTAGATACTTTCTATTATGTATAATTCAATGGAATTCGTCATTTTGTTTCATATGATTTGTATAAAGCATAATGGTTTCTATTGTTTACACTTCTCTCGGTTTTTGATATTTTTGTTCTTGTACCTAAGATAGGTTTTAAGTTGTATTTTAAAACGAGTTTTTGTTTATGAAAAAGGTTAATAAAACATGATACTTGTATATAATTATATAAATTGTTTTAATTTCCTTATTTGATCTGAATTGAGCATGTGACATGGTTCAAATGCCCACTCGTTCAACAAGTAATGAAAATTCAAGTTCAAAGACATAATCTAGCTGGTTGAATATGTTAATCAATGATGATAGGTAAGCTGTTCAACTGCCAAGATCTGATCAAGAGTTGCTGCTGGTTTTTTAGCGAGAATTGCTCGCTTGACAGTGACGGACACAGACGAACAAGTGCAACGTTGGTATTCCCCTTTAGTATCTAAAATCTACCACTTTCACGGCAATAAGTGAAGTATAAAAATTACAGAAATCACGGAAATCTAGATACCGTTTTTTTACTATCTAAATCGGATTTTGATGAAATTTTTACAATTACTAATGTGCCAAAGCCGGAAAATTTGATAAAATTGAGATATCAGATACGCAAACTGTATAGGAATTTGTAAGATGAAATATCATTCTATGATTACAAAAATGGGCGCCCGCAGGAATTTCTCAAGAGGGCGGGGACGTCCATGGTTCAAGAGCATGACACTGATGTACTTAATTTGAATATGACCGTCAAAGTATCGCAAGGTGCATTGTGAAACGAAAGCAAAAATGCGTTTTCAGAATATCTCAGTTTCAAAGTGTACAGGGTGTAAACGTTATGGTAGTCATTATTGAAATGGGTAATAGGGGGGGTCAAAACAAGTCAAAAAGTTCATATGACCCATGTCCAAAAGTTAATAGATTTTTGTCTAAATGGCTTTATAGTTTACAACTATAAGTGTTTTATTATTATTTGCATCATCGTTATACAGGGTGACTTCGAAGTTGAGTCATTTATTTTAACAGTGAGTAGATCTGATCAAAAGAAATGTTTTTTTCCTTTAACATTTTTGTGGTAAAATTAAAGTAACAAAGTTATAGCCCTTTAGCAGTTTGAGTACCGCCCTGTCTCAATAATAATATGTGCTCGTGTTTGGCAACAACGGATATAATCGGAAACAAAAAAGCGAAAGAATTTGAAACGCTTATCACGATGTTTTATTCATTTATTTTATTCAGTTGTATTCATTCGATGTGTCAGTCAGTAACGCGTGAGTGGTGTTTCTGCGTGGCTCAAAAGAAATAAAAAATGGCACATGTTTACGAAAATGCTGAACTTGTGGACATGATTCTTATTTTACAAAATGCTGCTACGGCAACACGGATTTATACGGATCGGTTTCCCAATCGAGTGCAACCAACCCCTAGTGCCTTTGTTAATGTAGTACAAAGGGCTCGTGAATCAGGTGACTTAAGTCCTCACACGGGAGGGTATGTGCTCCAAGACCGCACGATCAAATACAGGTCCGCACTGAAATACTTGTCGGGAGGATATTTTATAAAACAAGGTAACATTTTTTTTTAATTTTTACACACATATTTTGGTTTATCTTCCTTCTACAATCATTATCTGAAAATTAATGACTCAACTTTAAAGTCACCCTGTATATATATATACTCATATAATTCAGGCCTGAAGGCCCATGGCTTCTATCCTTTTGACAACCTCTTTCCACACTTTTCTGATTTGGTCTTTTCCTTCCAGTCTGGTATGCCTAATCTTCGTATATCCTCTTTGACACTTTTCAGTCATTTCTTCTTCTACTGCCTTCTCCTCCAACCAACTTTTTTGGCGGTCCTACAAGACGCTAGCGCACTCTTTGAGCTCGGGTTTTTTGTATTACACAGGGTTGGTTATACTTCTCCATCAGTTTTTTAATTAGTTCGCTTTTTCCATGTACCTTCGTTTTTTGTGCCTCCATATATTTTGCGAAACATTTTTCTTTCCCTGCGTTCTAATTTCTGTACGTTTTTCTGGCTTAACACCCAAGCTTCACTGCGGTAAAGTACCGATGGTTGGATAACCGATTTATATATCATTTCCTGTTTTCCTTGCTTTATCATCTTGCTTTACTCCCTTTTGCTATTCTTTTTTTAATTTCTAAATTTCTGCTTTGTTATTATGACCCCTAGATATTCAAATTGATTCACCTTCGCGAAACGGTATTCCCTGCAACTACTTTTTATTGCTAACTTTCTTTCGTCGTTTCCTCTCCTTTCTAGGTACATATTTTGTTTTGTCATTTATATGAAGCCCAAAACTTTTGGCAGTTTCTTCTAACCTTCTTTTCAAGTTCTGCTTTGGATCTGGTTATTATTGCTATATCATCAGCATAAGCAATCAACTGATGTTTTCTATAGTACACAACTCCGTCGGTTTGTATACCACAATCACATAAACTAGTTTCCAGGCGTAAAGTTAAACAATGTTGATAGCGGGTCCCCTTGCCTCGGGTCTCTCCTTACGCCAAAAGCTCTAGATGTTTTCCCTTCCAATGTGACTTTCTTCATTGTCATTTTGATTAAGCTTATAAGTTTATTTGGTATTCCTAGCACCTCGTAGCTTCATATAATTTTTCTGTCAAGGGAATCATACGCTTGCTTGAAATCAAATAATGCGTGTAAACCAAGATTTTGTTCATAGCCGTTTCTTCGTAAATATTTGGTCTACTATGGACCTGCCCCTTCTAAAACCTCTTTGATATTCACCTATGACCTCGTATTCATATATGCTGAATCTGCCACTTAGATGAAATGCTACAACCTTATATGTAGTGTCAAACAGGGCAATGATGCTATAGTTTTCACATGAAGTATTGGTAGGCGTGGTTTTGAAAAGCACCGCAGGTAAATTTATTCTTTGCATCATCTTTAGGATTTAGGTAAATGTAACAAATGTTATGTTTTACACAAATTGTTGAATGAAAAAGAGTGCTAAAAAAATTACCTAAAAACTGTGTCTAACATTTGGTATTTTATAGGAATGTCAAACAATGAACCAACCATTCTCCAGAGCACTGCGCTTACATGCTAAGGTTGTACTAGCATACTATTTTCAGGCGCGTAAAAAAAATTTGAAAGATACTAACGCCATTTAAGAGCAGCGACAGAATAAAAAAAATCAGTGAAGACGTGTTTGGTTCTGCTATCACCTCATATATGGCGCTGGGAGCTTCAATCCCCATTTGGCGCCTCTCTTACGCTTATTTCAATTGGCTATCCCAAGGTGAAATACCTTAATCAATGCCTCAAAATACCCAATTAAAATAGCCGCTGGAAGGGAATTGGAGATCATATGAGAATGTAGCAGAAACAAACACTAACCCTTTTCAAAGTTGATTACTAAGTTGACTTTATTTCTTTTGAATCATTACGTTTAGAAATAAACCGAACATAGTTTATGATAATTGCATGGGAAGTCAAAATAAAGGCTGATAAATGGGCGCGATAAAATCTGAAATCAAACACTATATTATGCTCAGACTTTTATTACATAAAACATACATGAAAATATGTAACTGTATCCTAGAAAAAAAAATAATACGAAACTGAATGAAACACATGCATGGTACAATAGTAATCGTAAGTTTTGCAGTATGCAGTAAAATGGAAAAGTGTGCTGTAATAGTCCTACGGTCTATAGAAATCACTGTCATGTTCATTTCTGTCCGCATGTGTCCAGAGTCAAAAATATGTCCGAAATCTATGGAAAGAAAACTATTATTAACATGGATTATATGCCTCAGACGGCTCATGTTTCAAATTATAATACTCGAGATTTTAAGTAGTTGTACAGTAAACTAGAATGCCACTAGTGGGAGTGGTATGGTTACTGATGAAGAATGATTGAATAATACTATGGTGGTGGTTCTATCTGAAGTATCAAGCAAAATTGTTCAATATCTATCAAGGGCGTCTGCAAAATTAGTTTCAGGAGAAGGGGGAGGGCAAAAAAGGAAAAAATATGAAATCACTTTAGAGAAAATAATATTGGTAAATCAAACAATCAAAAGCAATCAACGTTAGTTAAACTATAAAAAGGTCATCTTTCTAGGTAAATAAAAATTAGAAAACTAACATAGAAACGTAAGTCGGTTTCTGGATATAAGCGTATGTTCAACAATAAAGAATGTAGAATCCATTTTTTCCGTATCCTTTCGGGAATATTCAGAATAACGAAACTTTCCAAGTGCCACTGTCTTAGTTACCTAAATGCGCAACTTTGCCCTCGTTCAACCGACTTCGTATCTCTTACCGTTTTCGAGATCCCAATGGTGAAAGTCGACATTGAAACAACCGGTATATTGTATAATCAATGCCTCAAGGCCGAAAATAGTAAATTCTCATGGCGCGATTACAGAAAAGAGGTCATTGACGGCAGTAACAGCCGACATTACAATGAAATAATCTTCGGAACATGAATATCAAGTATGATTCTTTAGTTAAATCATAAAGTTAAGTTGATTTTTCATCTTTAAATACGTACCTCTGAAGTTAATCTCTTGCATATTACACTTTCAAAAAAGGATTTTCAATATGGTTGTTAGATGTGATGAAAAACATGTTTTTCTTTAACCAGTTTTTTTTTTATGAATAACATGACACGTACAAATATTATCAATGATGTAGATGCGTAATTATCAATTGCCTGGATCTACCACAGTCTGTCTTTTCTGTAGCATGCTAAGTCTGTATCATATGTCTTTTTTATAAATAATAGTCTATAATCCTGTGTTCTCTACAAATAATAATACGTTATAGATGTCAAAATGTCAAATGCAGAACAAATCCTGTAAGCATCTTGTCTTGTATAAAATCAGTCTATCGAATATCACATAAATGTTTCAAAAGTGAAAATACTGTCAAAAATATAGGATGTTAATGATAGGCAATAGTTACAAGAGCATATTCCTGATCAAATTAAGTAAATAATACAACATCACAAAGTAATGAATAGCACAGCAAACTCACCCATCTTCAACTATATTTTGCTATACAACAAATTGCCTATTAGCATAAAATCAGTCCTTGCTAATAATTTATACAAGAAAAAAAATACTATATTGCAGTGTGCATTGCAATAAGATGTCAGGTTAGTATAAATTAGAATATAATTATGAATTCCAGTGGTGCTTTGGGGAACAGTCACACAAATAATATTGACAAAATTATGTACGCCATGATTTATAAAATTTTTTTTTTTTCGAATCAAGTAGGTAAAAATAAAACTTGTTTTGACTCTTGGTATCACTTTGTATCTTACGTCATTTTAAAGTAAAAAAAATAAAAACTACATTACATGTCAAATCAATACTGTAAATAACATCAATTTAATTTGATCGATGCACAATTTTAGAATGTAAGGAACAGAAAGTAACAACAATTTGATGAAATATTGACAATAATTTTTGTAAGCGACCACCTACTCCTTCTACGCAGGCTTCTGCTCTTGTATTTTATCATTTTTTCAACACCTAACCAAGGTATTTTTATTTTTTCCTGGAAAACAAAGCCAGCTATGAAGAGTTACTAAAAAGCAAAAAACTTAGACCACTAACTGCTTAATCCAAAAAAATTATTCACTTTGAAATGTCAATATTATTCATGAGACTGCCCTCCGAGACGCCACTGGAGATCAAAATTCTTCCAATTAGTGGTAACTTAGCACCTTATTACAATGAACAATCCTTCCCGAATTTAAAAAAATGGCTTTATTGAAGTAATAATAAAAAAACATTTTTCTATAATAAAATCTTGATAGCAGGAACCTTGAAGCCAGACTTTATAGAGCACATGTTTATAAGAACTTTTCTACTCAAATATGGTTCATGAATGCGACCTTGTAATTACGGCCTGTCGTTAAGTAACACCCTATGTGCTGTGAAAAGTATTCGAATACCTGTAACTTTTTAGTGATCAGAAAAACTCGACTCATCGATATGCATCTTCTGTTCTTCAGTTTTGCGCCGTTTTTGCTCTGGAGTCTCCTCAGCTTCGATAACCTTCAGTTTGACCGCGTTTATTTCAGCTTCATGTAGATTCTAAAAAAAAACAAAAATAAGGTTTTCTTGTCACCACCAAAAGACAGTAAAGACAGATTCCATCTGTGCCAGTACACCACTTTAGAACTTTCGTCAATGTGATATTGTCATACAGACCAGAATAATTACAATGTGAGAAGTAATATTTGGACAAATCTAAAGACCTAACCTGTATGCATAATTCGGCAGAGACCTTCGAGGTGAACTTTGCAAATCCATAATTTTTGTTATTGACCATATACACGTCAATGAGATTTCCGTATCGGCAAAAGATATCCCTCAGTACATTTTGCGACAATGCGTAGGGGTTGCACACAATGAAACACCTGAAAAAAAAAATTGAGCTGCCATTCAATGTGTCAGTGATACAAAGCAATTAAAAAGCTAGTCTGATAATTACTTATCATTTAATAATAATCGTCTTTATTAGTGGCGAAGTTTAGCGAAGCGCTATTCTCCCACTTAACCCCAAAATAAAAATACAAAAAAAACAATATCTCAATGTTAACAAAAGTAATGATAGTTGTATAAATAAGTTGGGTATAAGATATAAATTATAACTGTCTAACAGTTTAAACAAAATCTTACATTGAAAAGTTTTGGGAAGTGAAAGGTTGAACTATATCAACTTATCCAAAATAAATATTTATATACGTATATTTTGTTATAGTTTTTTTTTTGTCAATAAAAACCAAGTTTTTCAGAGTATGAATCATATTTATCTATCCTTGTCCTAAGAATAGATGTTTTCACACCAAGAAATTAAGCTCAGCTTGTAGGTAATCGAATGTGATTATTTGCAGAACGAAGACTTGGAATAGTGCTATTATTATTAAATATCCCATTGAATTAATGAAGTTGTAGATTTTGGATTTTGTTTTACTGGTATTTGTATGAAAATTAAATTACCTTGCAACACATTCACCAGTCACCAAAGGTTCTACTGGGGGCAACTTGACAGTACAGGAGTACATTAATTCATCCTTTTGATTTTTCTCACTCAATATGATTCCTAAAATATAAAAACGTTTTTATGTAAATAATACACCCAGAAAATGTGTGAAGCCATTGGGAAATGATTTCAACTCTCTGTGCCATAACAGATATAGAACGGGTACTATAGTTGTAAAAGACTGCAAACTGGGAAGGCTTTATCAGAATATTTGAAAAAAAATGCTCTTAGATGACGAGGAACTTTGTGTTTTTTAAAAGCTGGGCGACGGATGATTGCTGTTATCATGAAAAAAGTAGAAATTTTTGGTCCCTTTCTTCTAACTCCCAACATAAAATGACTTGTCTTCAAAAATCGTATGTCCGGCGAAATTATAAATCATCAAATGTCAATTGAAATTGTTTAAACCTCGACTTCGGACGTTTCTGATATCCCGATTCGTTTATATTTACTATATTTACCTGGCGACAGTCCAGCTGCTTGTATTAGAGAGGTAGCCTGCTTGATGGTCTCTGCAATCTGCATCAAATCCGGCTTAACTTTCTCCAATGCAGCCACGGTTGCTGTCCTCTTGTTGGCCTTCTTTTCATGGCTGTATGATGGAATGGGTCTGCAATCAGCAGGAAGGGCATTCGTCAGTTTTCTGACTCTCTTCAATCTAAGTGTACAAGCTATATATTATTGTCAAGACAAAGAATTCAGTTTGCCCGTAACTTCAACAAACACTGTCATCACACTCTTGAGCAATCCAGTAACTTATATCAAACTAGACTATACCCGCTTGCGTGGAAGTAGTGTGAAGTTATAGATGATTCATTTTGCACTAGTATGAAGGAAATTGGTTTTAGAGAAAGAAATGCAATATTCAAAGTAACACTAGTTACTTTGGCAATGGACATTTTTTATTGAATATTTTAATGCAGTGATAAATTAATTTCAATGGTTTCGCTTTTTTAAATCCTCATAAGGAGTTGACTTGAAAATGTATCTTATCTTGATGGTCATAGTCACAGTCACAGAGTAATTGAACATAAAATTCTTTTTACTTCCTGTATCAAAAACGGGGTTTAAATTTAAGAAAACTGTCATAACCTTCAAATGAACTTGAAGGTCATAGTCAAGGTGAGATGAATCTTTTCAAACTTCATTACACATTTTCTTTATATTTTGTCCTTACCCTACTTTCTGGACACCCTCAAATAGCCATGAGGTCATGGAAAAAAGACATACTTTCACATAAAACTTCCCACTCTCAACATTTCCATATTAAACCTTAGTAAATACATATGATAGTTTATGTTCTACATTTTTCTCTAAAAAACGTATTTTTCGTGATATGTTGATCTATCCATACTTTTTGAATGCAATGTACATACATTTTCAAGGAAAAAACTATGCCTATAACCTAACTCTCTGTACTGCGGTTTAAACTTTATGCTGAGAGGCTGGACAAATATTCACATTTATATACAGCAACTAGGAAATGTTTTATTTGCCTCAAAGAAACAATGAACAAATCTTCAATCAAGTCCCTACAGTTTATGGTAGTGATTGAGCAAATAATTGTATTGTCATGGCAGTTGTTCCCTCGAATCAGTGAGTCAGTTTGATAAGTATGTCATTCTGTTAGTCCTTGATAACCATAAACAACACAATGCGTGGGGAAAGAAAGGACAAAAAAAGGGAAAGAAATTTCTTGTAGAAATAGAAAGCGAGTAGGCGGCGAAGAAAATATAACTAATGAAAGCTATCATGTGGCTTTCATCATCTATAGGACTCCATTGTTTTATGTTATATTTTTTAATTTCTGTTTATTGTATGATGTTTCGGTCACCACAGTGACCTTTTTTCAAATATGACAATGACAGTATATATATTTTTATACTGTCATTGTCATGGCACTTGAAAAAAGACATTGTGATGACCAAATCGTCATACAAAAAATAGAAAATAAAACGTATATTGACAGTGTAGTCGGCAAATATTGGAAGTGATCTAGTTTTGAAAAACAGCTATCTACAAGAAGATAATAATCTGGAGATGAAGCAACAAATGCATAAGTGTGGTAAGTGATAAATACATGTGTGTGTAACATTAGAATAAAGATTTCTGTCACAAAAATTATAAATTTACGTAACATATTTGTACTTTAGTTCTGTTCTTACCACGTTTCTGTTCTACACCATCAATTATGTCATTTGATTCGGCCAGATAATAGTCCTGAGATTGAAATGCTGAGATTCTTATAAGTCGAAAATTGTGTAAATAAGAACACAATAAGAAATACCTGACAATAAGGCGGGTGCCAGGAGGGTATTCAAATCCATGCAATTTATCTCTGGCATATGAAGCCCAAGCTGCATCATTGTACATCACTTCAGCAACACATCTGGTTGGATGTCTTCCATCGCCTTCATATGTCAAGGAACAATACTCCATTGCTAGAATTTATCAATCTCATGAATCATAGATTTAAGGTTTGCATACACTTGTCTAGTGCTTTTCAGAAAGGTCCCCCCCTTATTTTTTGAACGAGTCAAGTTAACGAGCTCAAAATTTCAACATTTTTTCACATGGAGTGGGGGCATATGGTACTTTAGTTTGAAGCTACTTATAATAGTCTAATCATAATAGAAAACTTCCCCGAAATAATTGTAAAGTCTGGTTTTATTGGTGCACGTTGTTCAAAGGGGTATTTAAAACATGGACGCATAAAATGGGTACATCAATTTTTGTGGGAAATCTTTTTATTTGACAACAAAGAATGAGAAAACGTGTTGTTTGGGAGTAAATCGAAAGTGCAAACAGGAACGAAAAAACTTTTCATATAAAATTTTTAGGTATTTATGAGACCTACAAAATGAGACCATACGTAAAAAGATCCGAATAATAGCAAAAATATAAGACTGAAAAAAAAAACGAGACAAAATGCAAGTTCTGGCAGTTGCGACGATAATTTCACGCAACTACTTGAAATTCTTCAAACTTTAGGATTCATCCTATATAACAACAAAATTGGAGGGGGGGGCTGTCTGCAAAGCACTATTTGTTAAAACCTTTGGGGGCTAAACAATCTGTAATTACTACATCCAACTTTTTGTACTGTTTCTTAGCTATTTTTTTGTATATGTGTTAAAGCTTGGATTACATTTTGTCTTTTTCACTTTCTTTGTATTTAATGAATCTTATATTAATATATAAATATATTACAATGTTCCAAGTATAAAAAGAGTAATAATCTACTAATTTCTTGAACAAATTCAAAGTACAAAATTTTGAGCATTGTTATTCAAGCAAGTTCCAAAAGTCCTGACGCGAAATCAAAATCACAGCTTTTTGAACAATATCTTACTTGGCACAACATTGAAAAGTCTCCACATCTGGTCCTGATTGAGAAGCGGTGAACCAGTAATAATCAGCTTATTATAACCCTCATCTGTAAAATCAGTAGGTGGCACAAGTTTAGAGGAACTTAGTAGGCTTGGTATCCCTCCATTGCTGCTTGACCTTGGCATGGACCTTGAGCTACCATAAGCAGAACTATGGCTGGCACCAAAGCTAGAACTGTGACTGTCACCATAATGTGCTGTTGATTCTGATTTTGGCTGGGCAAATAAGGCTTTGTATGACCTGTCACACTCCTCATAAGCCTTGGCTGCATCTGAGAACCTGAAATGAGAAAAATCATTAAAAGACTGACAAAAAATTTTAGTCAGTGACATTTGACGGCAGAGCTCTCCTTGGAAACAATAATGCTTCCTTGTGGAATGTCAACTATGACAATTTGTATATTGCTGTGACAAATCCTCATAGATGATACTACAGCTCTCGAATATTTTTCGGATCGCGAATATATTATTAGGTCAGCTATCTTCAGGTAGAATACGTTAATCAATAAAATAGTAATGTTTGCTTTTTCGAATTTGTACTGGATAGTGGAATCACAGAGTGAAGTAAATTAAGTATATATTCCATATACAAATGTAGTAGAGCTATGTAGCTTCAGTATTGAGTATTAAGAATATTATTTTATAATTCAAACAGAGAACTGCTGAAGTCTCAAATTCCACATATTTTATAAACCTAGTTTTGAAATCTCTTGGTTGGTGGTTGATGCCTTTAGTGTTGCAATATACGTTTCATATTTAGATTGAAACCTTAGACCTACAGGTATATCAGGTTTTAGATATATATATATATAGATATATATTTAGATTGAAATTAGTTAGTGCTTCCAAGAGTGTGTGTAATTTAATAATACTTTTATTTGCCTTTTTCACAGAAAATCAGATATTTCACAAAAAAATTGTTTGAAAATTAGAAAAATAATCTTCTTCACTGCATCATTGCCTTATCTCTATAAAATTCCAATTTTTTCCTTATATCTCAAAAACAATTTATTTCGGAATTCCACAAACATGTTATATTTTTAGAAAAAAATGCGGAACCCTGGCCTCCAGTAAAACATTATTAAAAAATATTCTAATTATTAAAATATCTGTAAATAGATGTTAATGCAGCTTATGATTGATAAATTTTATTTAAATTTGTTCTCCTTCTGTTATATGATCTGACCTATATTTTGAGATTAACAAATCCTACTAGTGCAAAACATCTATCAGCAATAAATACAGCTATACAATATGGTAATTTACATACTTTCTGAATTTGATAAAAGCACATCCTTTAGGTTCCTTTGTAACTCTATCTTTCAGGACAATTGCAGATTCAACCTCTCCAAACTTCTCAAATTTCTCCTTCAATTCAGATTCTACAATGGTTCTAGGTACAATGACAAACAATCTACGGATTGTTTCCTCTTCATTCAGGTCCTTTTTTGAACCTCTATCTCTCCTGCAGAAATTAACATTATGGTGAGCCAATTGTAAATTAAAAATACCTGAGAAAAATAGTGTGAATAATAATTACTTAAATTATTCAATATTTTAAACAAATTGTACACTAACAATGAAACTGTGTCCATAGTATGGTCATAAACAAAGAATAAATAATAGCATTTAAAAAGCCTATATTGTACAAATAAGACTGCCTCTATATCTATTTTAAATAGAATCTAAGGAATATTTTTGTCAAGTTCTTGATATTAAATGTTTTCAAAATCATTTTAAAGATCATACATACTCTGCAGCTACCATAACTTTGAGGGGTCGATCACCACCAAGGGTCTGTTTATTCATTTTTTCCATCGCATTTGCAGCCTCTGATGTTTTTGAGTATTTGATGTATGTAACACCTAAAATACAAAATATTCCTTGTGAGTAAAAAACGAGGCTTTAAAAATCAATTCATGTACCTTGCTGCATATATCTGGTAGCAAAATACATATATATATGACGCTTCATATTGAAAATCAGTTACCATATTTAGGTCTTAGTGGCAAAGATGCTATCCTGTCAAATCATTACCATTAGATTCACATTTCCTTTGGGATCAAACAATTGTACCTTTGATACCATAAGAAGATCAAAGATCTTGAACACCAAATTGAGTGTGGTGAATCTATCAGTAATGATGATGTAATATCATATGTACATCACAAAAACCATGTCACTCATTTTCATGAGGGTGTCTATCTGTCTGCTAATCCTTCGCCCATCTATAACTTGGAAAGTGCTGGCCAGATTTTGATGAAATTTTCACATCAGGATGCTACTATACCAAGGACGAAAATTGTAGTTTTTGAAAATCGGTCCAGTGTCGGCAGAGAAAAAGGCCAAGAACGAAGAAAAATATCGCTCAAACCCCGTTTTTTTGATGTGAAACATCAAGAGAATTACTTTGAATATGCATCACTGCTGTTGGGATCACCAGTGAGTGTACCTGTGGTAAATGTCCTACTGTCCTACCCAGCAGCCACTACTTATGAGATGTATTCATGCCAGAACAAGTCCTTAGTGATCTGGCCTTCAATGAACAGCTCTGTGGTACAGACCTCTACAATTCATCGAAACAAGATGAGCGCTAGGATGCTTCCTGTTCATTAAGGTACAGTACTGTGTTTTGGAAGCATTAAACTGTACAAGATTGCTGCAGGGATGTGTAGTTTGAAGTTTTGTCTGATTTTCTGTATATACATTATTTCATTGAAAGACTTTTCATCTATGTACCACATAATAGGGCCATTTGACTGTATTTTAAATTTTACCTCCAACTGTCTACTAAGTTGCTCAAAACGCTGACAGCTTTCATCAAAACATGAACACAACTATTTAAAAATCGAAATCTAGGAATTTTGTAGCCAGTACCTTATTCACTTTTTCATACACCACAAAGTATGTTTCAGCAACTTTTTTAATTTTTCTCGCAATAAAAATTCGTATAACGGATTCCCCTAACTTTTTTTCAGACAGTGTAACTTATGCTGAACACAATCCTTCATCAGCTGATGGCATTGCGAAAGACGTGCTGAGTGAACCTACTTGACGTCATTTTTTTATTAAACAAAAGAAAAACAAGTTAGCATCCAAGAGTGGTATACATACCTTTGGGATCTCCACCTCTTTCTCTAACAACATACAAGTCTTCTATGGTGCCAAACGGTTCAAAATGTTTTCTGAAATCATCCGCAGTCAAATGTTTGGGGTGAATAATAAAAAGTCGAGAATGTGGAGGAGAATCCTTACTATTTCCGCGGTCTCTGTCCGCCATTTTATCTAGGGTTTGACTGGAAGGAATAAATTCATTAAAAAGACAAGCTGAGAAATAAATTATGAACTATTACCTGACTAACTTCGAGTAGATGAGATACCAAAAAAATTGTGCTTTCAAATGTTCAATGGATTCCCAAATAAAAACAGTGAGTAAAGTGTGAATGACCAGCAGACCTCACAATTACACAAATGCCAGATGTCACAGACTGTTGCCAGACATTATTTTTTTCCCTAGATATTTTGCCAAAATTTCCCTAGATTTCCCTAACAAAAAACATGTTTACTTTAGAATTCCTTTTATATATTTAATATTCATCTTAATATTGTTTGTAATTTGGAGTAGGAGTACTGATAAACAAATGCAAAAAAAATGTTTTTCGTATAATTAGTTTAATTAACGTAACAGGTAAATATATAATATAAACTAAAATACATGATAACTTTTAAGTATGCATATTATAAAATACATATAAATAGCGACCGAACGAACATAGCATAACATAAAATATTTTGTTTTTAAGAAAACAATAAGGCAAAATAATCAAAAGTAGGTATTATAACTTAATCACGTAGTACGAAGTACGGGTAACCGCCTAACGTCGTTGAGATACTAGCGGGTGACAGGTCTTATGGTCTTCGCAGTGCCAAAAAGTGAGTTAAATTATTAAATCATAAATGGAGAAACACGTCCATCTGATTTTAAATGGTGAGGGAGTAAGTCATCGAAGATATAGGAACCGCATTTGTCACATCAAATGCTTGATTTTTATTGATATATATGTACATCGCACAAAAAGGATTTTTTCGCGAGTCCACGGTGTAGCACAGTGCACTACCGGGAACCGATACTCAAATTTTCGCGAAGAACGGGAATAGGAGAAGACGGATGTGACGTCGTCCAAATGTCAAAAAATCACGTGGTACGGGAATCCGCCTAACGACTGTGAGGTACTAGTGTCATTTAAAAAATAGGCATCTCAATTGAAAATTTGTCTTCGCAGTGCCGAAAATTGAGTTAAATTATGAAATCATAAATGGAGGAACACGTCCACCTGATTTTAAATGACGAGTGAGAAGGTCATCGAAGATATATGAAACGCACTTGTCATAGGAAATGATTGATTTTATATATATATATATATATATATATATATATATATATATATATATATATATATATATATATATATAAATATGTACATTGCACAAAAAACGATCGGTCTTTTTATTTCAGATTCAAACAAGACATCTAAGTTTATCAAGGAGCTCAAAGCAAACATTTTGGGCAACATGCGCCCACCAACCACTCCCGGTCTAACTTGAAACTGTCAAGACTTCGAGAGAAAGGGGAAATTCCGTCTGTTCCCGCTCCGGTTCACTACGGGATCTCCCGAAAAAATCTCTAAAAAGATTGGTAGATATTTTTATTTCAGAGGCCCGAGTAAATATAACATGGCCACGCAAGACAACTATTGAAATATACTCTAAAAGACTATCCGTAGCTAATTTTTTCTCGAAATCGTTGCACAATACTTAAAAATATGCAAATGAAGATTGGAAAACTGCCGCCTCGATGTTCTAAATAACCCCGTCGTTACCCCGGGATAGACATATGTTTTGAATGTTGATCTTATCACCTGGATTGCGGCGTCGCCAGCTCATCGGACGATTTGGCTACCTCTGCTATCACGAATTCCTTGGACCTTTTGTTCGAGGCCTTGCTAATAGTTTTGAGATTTTTCAGAAATGAATGTAAGTACATAAAAATACTTACAAGAACGTTAGACTAGTGCACGTTTCTGTAAATTTCTTTTTATAATAATGTATTACAGGGTGGCCAAGATAAGGATCGGACTAGACTCAGTAATCACACAATCTCACATCAAGCATTTGTTTGCAACGCCTACCTAGATATACAAAAGTAAAAAAAAACACGTTTGTTTGTAACTAAAAAACAAATGTAACGTGATACATCGTTGAAGTCGTAAAGTCGAAATCACGAAAGATGACGATTACGTCATCATTTTAGTATGTAGAAAAGACAAACGACAGCGATTGGTGAATATTTTTATTGAAGTTTCAGATATGTTAGACACTAGACAGAGACAAACAAAATTTTATTGTCTAAACAAAATGTATTGCTAATTTGCATGTATCCGACAAAGTTAGACGATGTTTTCATGTTGTATGATCGATCATATTTGAAAGATGAATAGTTGGGTTATGTTTTATGTTAAAGCAGGTTAGGTTGTTTTCGAATAATACTTAGGTCTTTGGTGTTCCTGTCTTGAGGTACTCTACTCATAACTGTAGTTTTTTCAAAACAAAAACTCACCATTAAAATTATTATTAAGGTATCACTCAGAACCATGAAATAAGATGAAAATAAAAATAATCTGTGAAATAACCTAACTTCGCAAAATCATAAATCAAATCCAACCGAATAACCAACATTTCTGTGTTATGTGTTATGTGCCGCGGTTATAATATGGTTCAAGATTACACACGGGTTGATGACGTCAGTTACACGAATCGCTTGAACGCGTTGGTTTTAACCGTTTTGTTGCAAGTTGTTTATTTTATCACTTAATAATCGGTGCTTTTTTGTCTACAACGGTGTATGGAAAGTTTAAATAAGAAACCTTTCATAATATTCATGAGAGATATGTTTTTTTTTCAGAAAAATTTGTTTAATGATGGAACCATGGTTTTGTAGCTATGATAACTTTCAATTCTCTAAAGTTTTCCGCATGTCAAAGAAAACATTTATTGATTTAGCGGAAACGATGAAAAAACGATGAAAAAAGATATTAGCAAAACCGTATACAGGTGGACATCATCCAGTGAGTTAAATGGCAATATTTTAATATTCTTGTGGTATATGGCTACACAGGATACTTTGTTAAACATAGGAACAAGATTGAAAGTGTTCCCAACAACAGTAATGAGTATAACTAATAAGGTGCTCCACTTTATGCTAACACTGAAGTCAGCCTGTATCAAGTTTCCCAAAAATGAAGCTGAAGTACAATAACAATATCCAGTACCCGGCAAAATTCTAACTTGTCACATTTCAGATAATAATCAGAAATATAAAACAACTCCTGAGTTGGGTAAATACCACAATTTTGCGGTGATAACTGTGACATATAACAGCTGATTCATGGCGTCACGGATCTTAAAACCAAACTGATAACCACACTCACTTGAACGGATCGGTAAATACCAACCCAAAATGGTAAATACCATTTTCAGTTGGTTATCCGCTTGAATTTGATTATGATATAAATTTGTTGTCATTATGTTCCTGACATTGTGATTTTATCATCGACGTACGTCCATTGATTGCTTCAGTACAATTTATGGTATGACGGAATAGTCGTCTTTCGTGACTGACTATAGAAAAAGCTGCTATTAGATACAGTGCACCACTTTTTTAAAAACACCATCATGTAGTGCCTAAATTGTGCCATTAGTTTTTTGACATTTCTTAAAATAAAGTCAGAAAAAAATAAAAACGATTTGTCCCAATTTTAGTTTTTCCTAAATACCTCAGTATATGATTAATTTCTCAGTGTATGCAATGTGCGCAAATTATTTAAAAAAACATAGGATGTCAACTCTAACACACAAGTAGATGTCTATGCAAGGCTCACATTCTTGGAACGTTAATATGTGTAGAGATGACTGTTTCACAAAAATGTACTAGATTTCTGATCTCAATCAAGTCGTTTGTCATACTGGATGACAAACCACTTCGTGGTTTTCGTTCATTCCTTGGATTCGCACTCTTCGTTTTTAACTCTTAACTATAATAAACGTCACATTAACGTCTTCTCGTAGCCTTCATTTTTCAATAAAAAAGAACACTGTCATTAGATTAGATCTTGTGATGTCCCAGTAAAGTGTTCAAGAAGAAAAATGACTGAAAACGACGTGAGTGCAGCAAATAATGTGGCAGCAGTCGCACCTGGGGCCTCAAATGCTGTGGCGGTAAGAATTTATCACTATCAGCCTTCTAGTTATAATCTTAGGTTCTCCTGGGAGCTGTTAGATAACATTTGTATTTTTTCTTAATAGCAAAACGGAGCAGAGCCCCAAAATGCCCAACAGAGTAGAATGAATCATTTTGTGGAAGTTGCCAAATCACTAATAATCCGGGCATTTATCATGTACTTCATATTCTCATTCTTCAGACAGCCTGCCCCCCAAAAGGTTAATGAATCAGGGGCTAATGTTCCACAAGTAGCTGCTAGGAATGTCTTTCCAGAAGGAACTGCAATGAATCTATATGTTTATCTTTCAGGTAAAAAATAGTACTCTAGAAATACATTACTTGTAACACCCATTGTAAATTGACAATAAATTCACGGATTTCTTCATGGACAAATTTACAAATGTACAAAGCAGAAATTTGAGTCAAATAGATTCACGAATTTCTTTGTGGGTTTCTTCATGCAATTTTTTTATACCAAAGCAGTCACATCGGGAGCAGCCTGTCAATCTGCTTTTTGAACCCCTGAGGTTAGTAGAACAGGAAAAGCCTCCACAGGTAGATTGTTTACACAATCTTGATAACATAGGGATAATTAGAACTACTTTTTGCCAAATTGAATGTTAAACCTTGTTTTCCATTCCATCATACTCGGCAACCTTTCTATTTAAGTGTAGAGCTTTGATAGAACTGTATTTAACAATATGGTTTCTGTTTATTGATGTAAACACTACAACAAAATCAGAATTACCCCGTAAAAATCCATCTGAATAAATTCATGAAATTGTTGATTGGGAAAAGAATGAGTCTTTAGATAGTAATGCAGATTAAGGAATTATAAAACTGGATCTTATTATATAGATAAGCAGAACAAAAACAGTATGATCATGCTAATATAAGATACATATCTAATATAACCTATAATAGGCACTTCACTCTTTGCACTTTCTACTTTTTGCAGTCACTTGATAGCCAGAAGAAAACATCTCTTTGCATTACTTATTGTCTATCAAGTTTTGAAATTACCATGCCTTTATGTATGCTTGATTTGTTAGGCTTGTCCCACAACTGTCTGTTTTTATACTTGAACCACCATAAAGGCTAATGACCTAAACCTCCGTGGGTAATTTGGGCTATAGGAGTATACAGGGGAAAGCAGGACATCACACAGATTCTAGCAAGTCAGACATCCACAACATCCATAGCCTCAAGAAAAGTTCTCTGTGGATGGGATTCTACCTCTATGCCATCATGCTGGCCTGACCTCTTCTAAACAATAATCAACACATAGAATCTCTAAATGAATATTTTAGAGTTTAATAAAATTTTGTGGAAGATGTATGGGAATAAATCGCATTCTTATTGTCAAAAGATGTACAATTATTAACAGTAGATTCATCATACTCCATTTCCTTTGGTGTCAAAAAACTGTATCTCAATTCTAATCCTTGGTTCACAGAATAAAATTGAAAAACAGTTGTGTTCATGGGAGCCTGCAGGGGGGGTCAGAGTGACTGTGCCCCCCCCTGAGTATGTTGTTGAACCCCTAAATTTGGATGTGTAGCATTATTTTGTGTACAGTCATTTGGAACATTAAATCGTAAAATTCTATTTGTATATTTAATTTTTTTGCAAAAAAGTATCTATGCCATAGGGTAAAAATATCTATATGAGTAAGGTGACATTATAAAACATAAGGGCTAGTTTTGTCAGACTAAATGAAACTAAATGGAGATGCTGTCAATAAAGATATTCTAGGCTTTCAAAACATCCTAAGAATATTGATTGTGCAAAGGTGTTTATCAATTTTCAACATTATGTCTTCAAAATATTAGCAATTTACTTGCATATACATCCTGAGTAGGTTTCTTTATATAATATATGTACTTGTTTGTAGATTCCCTGAAGCAAATAAAGATTAGCAAAAGCTAGGGTTTGCTTTCTTTGTTGAAGTTTCTTTAGTTAAAAATAAGGTCCAAACCTTTATGTTGAAAGATGAGATATAAAAAAAGTATTGCTATTTAGTTGACATACATCATTGAAATTATACTAAATACTAATTTGGAAATCACACTCAAACATTTTCTTGAATTCTAGAAAATGAAAGTGTAGAAAACTACCATCCTTCAAACCTATTTTGGTATAAAGAAGGTTTAACTTATGGGGACTGGACCTCAGGCATATACGGAGATGGCAGTTATGTCATAGAGAAAGATGTTCCCATCACTCAGAATATGAGAAATAATGGTTCACTTTTTCTACATGCATTCCTCACAAAGTATGGGTTCAGTCCTGATCCTAATGCCAAAAATTATGCAAGCTATCAGATGTCTTCTGTCATGAAGCAGTTGAATAGGTGAGATTACATATATTATTTTTAAACCCATTTGATTTGCATTGACTGTCATGTTTATTAGAACATATAACTATATGTGTAGAAGTCAAAGATAGTACATAAAGAGGAGCCTATAGTAAAATCACAATAAAGTTAAAAAACTATTATATAAATTGTATCAGCTCCGAGAATGCTTATCTAAATCTAAATAAATAAAAATAAATATTTGGATTCAATAGCAATAATAAAACAGGTGATTCATTCAAAAGACCTTTTTAAATAAAAAAATATCAGTATTGCAGTTTATCTTAATATCGAAGTTTATTTCTTTCAAATGTTGATTATTAAACCTGTTACCGTTGTCCATTCTGGAATTACAATTTTCGATGACGCGTTCGAGCATCTTGAGTAGAATGTTGGTGGCCATTCTCTCATCATGATAGTAATTCATTTGCTGCCTAAAAGTCAATCTCATGATGACCAGAATGTTTGGTTTCAATAAGATAGTATGGTGCTACTTGCAGCACAGCCCACGAAGCCATTGCTTCACTGCTATAACGATTTGGCGATGAGCTATTTTCTCGTTTCGGCCCGATTAACTGGCACCTGGATCATCTTATTTCGCACTTATGGACCTTTTTCTTTGTGGCTGTAACTACATCAATAGGAAAGTATAACTCACGAACTAGAAGTTGCGCTATTCTCCAGATACCAGTCGAAATGCACTGACGTGTCATCGAAAATTTTAATTCCAGAAAAGAGTCATATTAACTACATTGACGGCCAGCAGTTGAAAAAATAATTTTCGCTAGACAAAATTCATGGACATTTCTTTAGTTTGAAAACAAAGAGATCCCGACACAGGTGATTGCTTTTGGAAAAATTGCCTCTGAATGGACAACTCCTTTACAAACAATTGGGAATTTCATATTGTCTGATATAGTTGTCACATAACATTCCTCCAAAATAGGATCTTGTTAATAGACTTAACAGACTATACTAGTCGATTTTGAACAAACTTTATCATTGTGTACATTATATTTTGTGATATCTCTGGTGTTTACATTGTATTTTACATTTATGTGTTTAGGTATCGCAAAGTGAAACAACCCAACACAAAAAACCTGCTTACTGGTGAGACAGAGCACACAGATCTGGATCAAGGGAAAGTTATTTCACACTGGCATCCGAATTTTACTTTGAATTTGGTGACTGATCAGAGCCCTTGGACTTATGGTCAAGTTCCTGCGCCTTTAGATCAGTATCTCAAATTTACAGGTGATGCTTCTCCATAAATTGTAAAAAGTGCCCTTTGGGTTTTACTTTTAGCACCATATTTTAACAGAACTAGATGTTTTATAGGGTTTTGATCGAATTTTTATCAAAATTTGAAGAATTGCAGAAAAAGTTGGAAAATACATGGTGGTCTATGAGAAAGGGTGTGTCAGTACAATAATCTTGAAATCCTCAGTTTTTATATATTTTTTTTCACTTGATAAATGATATTTGATTAAGAAATACTACCACAAAACATCTAAGCAATGTTTTAAAGCTAACAGTTTTAGTTCTGTGACTGACATTGCTGTATAGGAAGTGTACACATGTTTGAGAGAAGTGTATAGAGGTCTGACAGAAGTGTACAAAGTCAATTAGATCTATGGAACTTATTAGATATACAACAATCTAGAACCTTTTTGGCGTTAATGTGCTAGGGTTAAATGTTTAGGTGTAACGTAAATGTCGAGAAAGATAATATGAAATTAGGCATACACATTAACGCTTCCACTTTCTTTTTCAATTAGATAACATCATTGTATCCCAATCCCACTTCAAGATAGAAAATCATTTTCTGTGGCGGGCGTCCAACAAGAGGTCTGAAATATGACTAGCACCATCTATGAGACAGTGTCAGAACATAAAAATGGATGTAGAAAATTGATACTTTGAAAATAGTTGATATGTTTGGGTCTGCTACAGTCTCATGAACGGTCAGGTCTAACGATTTTTCGGTAGATCTACCGATTATAGTCCTATTCTACCATACTACCTATTTTATGTGAAATACGTAGTCATGCCATAAGTTCTGTCCCTCGTTTTCAAACAAGTGTAGACCTGTTAATACTTGTCCGATTGTTTACATTGTGGTGTCAGTTGATTAAGCGCTTTTCGGGTAATTACATATACCTCAGTTTGTATTGATCTCTCGAAGCATAACGATGGAGTGGGGCAAGGCAGAGAACCGTCTTGCAGTGATAGCTTTACATAAGTGTAATCACAGTGCTAGTCAGATTTTTGAACTCTTACGCGGCCTTCAAATATCGCGTAAATTTGTGTCTAGGACCATTCAGCGGTACAATGAGACGTCCTCTGTTGATGACAGGCCAAGAAGCGGAAGACCTCGTCAAGTAAGGACTCCAGCAGCCATCAAAGCCGTAAAAGCCAGGATTCAAAGGAATCCACTCCGGAAGCAGAAGATCCTATCCAGGGAAATGAAGATTCCTGTCCGGACGATGTCGCGCATCATTAAACAAGACCTAGGGCTAGGGGCTTACCGGAGACGTACGGGCCAGCGACTTACGGCCACCTTGCGACACATCAGGGCGACAAGATCCAAGAAGCTCTTGGAGAGGTACGCAGCTGGGGGATTCCGAAAGATTTTGTTCACGGATGAGAAAATCTTCACCATAGAAGAAAAATTCAACCGACAAAATGACAAAGTGTATGCAAGGAGTTCACAGGAAGCTTCGGAGATCATTCCGAGAGTTGAGAGAGGCCACCACCCTGCGTCAGTCATGGTTTGGTGGGGGGTGTCCTACGAAGGGGTCACTCAGCTCCATTTCTGTAAACAGGGCGTGAAAACAAAAGCGGCAAACTATCAGAGCGACATACTGGATCCTATCGTCAAGCCTTTAAGTGGTACATTGTTTGCCAACCAACACTGGGTCTACCAGCAGGATTCCGCCCCCGCTCACAAGGCTAAGAGTACGCAGCGCTGGCTGGAAAGCAATGTGCCAGAGTTCATTGCTGCGGAAGATTGGCCCTCAGGGAGTCCGGACCTCAATCCTTTAGACTACAAGTTGTGGGACCTGCTAGAGCAGTTGGCCTGCTCCAAAGCCCACCGTAATATCGAGTCCCTGAAAGCGGATTTGATCCGATCAGCGGCAGCTATTCCTTTGGAAGCTGTGCGTGCAGTGATAGATGAGTGGCCCGCGAGATTGAAGCAGTGTGTGAAGGCCAAGGGGGGACATTTTGAATAAAACTGTTTGATTATGAATTCTAAAAATGTTGTCGAATAAATAATATCTTTCATATAAATATATCTTATCTTGTTTCATTTTTATCATGAGATTATCATGGGACAGAACTTATGGCACGACTACGTATACCGAAACATTTGTCAAATTCTTGAATGGTATATTTTTGATACAGGGTGGCTGATATGTAACTGACTGGTTTCTATCTTGAATATTTATGAAATGAAACAAAATACGTCTAATTTCTTCATCTTAATATTTTATTGAAACTTAGAAATTATGTATGAAAAATAATATCAGACAAATGTCCGGGTCTAGAAGCCGCCCAAACCTGAGCCCTCTTGACTACATTTTCAATCACATTTTGGTAGGTTTCGGTAGGAACATGTTCAATCGCTTCCATAATATTGTTCTTCAGCTGCTCTAGAGTATTTGGTTTGTTGGCATAAACCCTATTTTAAAAAAATTCCCAAAAAGTCAGAAGCTGTTAAATCCGGTGATCTTGGTGACATTGTGTTTAAAAGAGATTGCATGATCTGATCAAAATGATTTGCAGATGATGGAAGGTTGTACAAACCAGTCCTGTTTGCAAACGACTTTTGGAATATGGCCAGAGATTACAAGCCTCTGAATGAGACGTTCAGGTTGAGAATAACCTTCCAACCATTGAGTATGATCAAATGGCAGTTGTATGCTGCTCAATACATGAAGCAGTCTTGGAATTTATTCGGGGATAATGAACAGGTAAAATGGAACATTTATTTATGTTAGGAAATCTGGGCTTATTGAGGAAAGAAGAATTTTGGGAAAATAGCTATATGAAATCCAGCATCAGGGATTACTTTTTTGACATTTTTTTTGCTTACACTAAACCAGTAGTAAACGTGCAGACATGGACGCTACTGGTAATGCAATAGAATAACTTTTCACGCTAAAATCTCATTTCATCTCCTCTTGATAACATGCTTAAAATAAACAATATTGTAGTACATTGGAGGATATTTTGTCTCTTAAAAATTCAACAACCCATAGTTGCAAACTTAAGCCATTGTGGACATTATAGTGTGGGCTCAGTCAATAACTCAGTCATTACGCATGGTATCTAGAAAATTGAATACCAAACTTGTAGCCAACAGAATGTTCCTTACTTGGTTAAAACATTTTTAAATTTAGAGAGTGATTCATAAGTACGTGGTGACCAAACAAGTAGTTTTCATGCAGAAAGACAAACATTTTATTGCATCTTTGGATAGGCCAATTCAAATGAAGCAATAGGTATTATAACATACTATAAAATTTTATTTTCAAATTGTTGAGATATTGGACAATCTATCGAAAAAAAGCACAAACGATTCCGTTAGCTGCCCAAATTACAAATGACTTTCAATAAGCTCATGGAAGATTAATTATGCATCTTAGACTAGCTTAATTAAAAATACCATTCTGTGTACATTACTAGATACCATATATGACGATATAATGCACAAAACTTTTAACAAACATCGATGTTAGAAATAATTATTTCGCGATCCGTTCCTTACGACGTCACGCTTTCAAATCACTGATAACAAAAAGTCAGATATCACAGATGTTCAGAAATCACAATATCAATCATCTCTAGGCAAATCATGTGAAACCAACGAGAATACCATATTTTTATAAGCGTATCGGAAACAAGTGCAAATGACTTTATATTCGCTGAGCGTTGTATTTTGAAGAACGAGAATACCGGCCCAGTATTAGTCAATGGTTTTACTAAAAAATCTGACTTTTCAACATATATTTATTTATGTCTTCTTACTTCAAAAGGAGATGTATAGTCACTCCATTTTGAAATCGTTTTTCAGGCACACAGTGATGAAGAGCAAGACACAATGAAAGAAACGCTTCTGGATACGAACCCGTACCTCCTAGGCATCACAGTTCTTGTCTCGATAGTACACTCAGTATTCGAAGTGCTCGCTTTCAAAAACGACATCCAGTTCTGGAACAACAGAAACACACTAGAAGGCCTTTCAGTCAAATCAGTCTTCTTTGGGGTGTTCCAGTCACTCGTGATCTTACTGTACGTCCTGGATAACGAAACTAACACATTGATCAGAGTTTCGTGTTTAGTCGGGCTTGGAATAGAACTGTGGAAAATACAGAAAGTGGTAGATGTGAAATTCGAGAATGGCAGGCTGAAGTTTGAAGATAAAAGTTCGTACGTGGAGTCGAGTACTAAAGAATATGATAATTTGGCGTTCAAGTACCTTTCGTGGCTGTGTTTCCCACTTCTGTTTGGTTACAGGTAAAGAAATTAATTTAACGATAAATCCTGTTTCACGCGAAAAATGAGAAGTTTTGAAAAGTTGATTCATTCATATCATATCTTTTCCGAACGCGCCGTCTACTTAGAATTTTTTTTTGAAAAGTATATATTTTGGTGTTTACGCTCTTATTTAGCTTTAAGCTACATTATTATATTAAATGAACAATCGCGTATCACTTGGGTCTAAAATATAAAGTACTTAATTTCCTCTTACATTTTGTGCTATTTTTATTTCTAGTGGTAAACCATTACAAGCTCTTAAGTAATACGATAGCATACCGGATCATTGCAACATAAATTTGCTAAAATAAATTGGCGCTATATTGTTTATAATTTTATAAAATATGATTTATTTTATTTTGATGAATTTATTTTTTATTCATTGCATTTTTCAAACGTTATGTCTTGTATACTTTCAGTACATATGCCCTGCTGTATATGGAGCACAAAGGTTGGTACTCGTTCGTCCTGGACATCCTGTACGGGTACCTTTTGACCTTCGGCTTCATCATGATGACGCCGCAGTTGTTTATCAACTATAAGCTGAAATCTGTCGCGCATCTGCCGTGGAGGATGTTGACGTACAAGTTTCTAAACACTTTCATAGATGATATGTTCGCATTCGTTATCAAAATGCCCACCATGTACAGACTAGGTACGTAAACTACATAAAACTTGAAGAAAAAATACGAAGGTTAATTCCTATGGTCCGCTCCTGCTATATGGCGAATAATGTTGGCAGTAAAACAAACCGGCTATGTTAACGGCAGATTTAGTGTATATGCACTGCCCGTCAAAAGTTTGAGACCACTAATAAAACACTTATTCTCATATTAGTAAATATTTTCAAAATATTGGTGATAAAAAGTAATCTGCACACCTTCATATTCTATTGTTTGAAGCCGCACCACGGGTGAAAGTTTGCTGGCGCGCATGTATGCCATGCATACTGAAAGGGTTAATGTTTATTTTAGCCGTTTAGTACTCCATAATGAAGGCAAATCTGAATGTGAGATTGCATCTCAACTCAAGCTATCGAAGATTTGTGTTCATCACACTATTATATGGTACAAAGAAACTATGTCACCAAGATCGTCCGCGCTCCGGACGACCCAGAGACTTATAGTGAAGACAAATTTATTGTGGTAACCAGCAAGTGGAACAAGTGAAATAGATGCCTATCAGCCCCAGAAATTTGTGTTGAAGTCAACAAATCTCGGTAAAAATCTGTGTCGTGTCTACAGTGCAAAGACGATTGTGAGACGCCAAGTTGCTGGTCGCGTTGCTGTGCGAAAACCTCTTCTCAAACCGCAGAATAAGAAAAAACGGTTGCAATGAGCCCTAGGCCATCGAGACTGGACCGAAGAGGATTTCAAAAAAGTACTTTGGAGTGACGAATCTAAATTTGAAATATTCGGTTCAAAATGAAGACGAAAAGATGATACGACAGAGTCAAGTCACGACTGTTACGTAAGGTGGCGGTTCTGTTATGGTCTCGGGTTGTTTCTCAGGCTATGGGACTGGAAATCTGGTCCAAATTAAAGGAATTATGAAAAAGGAGCAGTATAAATAATTTTGGAGAAAAATGCTATTCCCGCCTGACTTCAGTTAATCGGCAAGGGATTTATTTTCCAACAGGATAATGGTACAAAGCACAGTGCAAAATTATGTAGAGGCTATTTTGACGAGAAATAGTGGGAAAAAGTGTTGGAAAACAGGACATGGCCACCCCAAAGCCCCGAACTTAACCCTATAGAGCTTTTGCGGGATGAGCTTGACCGAAACGTTCGGGAACAATGTACTTCTTCACAGCAGGCCATGCGGAATGCATTAGAAGAAAGCTGGAGGAATATCTCGCAAGAGACTATGAATAAATTAATTGCTCGCATGCCAAGATCATAAAATGCAGAGGATATTTTAATGAAAAATCTATATAAACTCTTTTGTGTGTGTTTTCTTCAGAACATTGTATTCGTCAAGACCATGTAATTTTTCAATTTTAAATCTTTTGTGTAACATGGAAATAAAAACTGTTTTTCATAAACTCTTAAATATGTTGACTTTTGTTTGTTTTCTTATTTTTTTATAGTGGTCTCAAACTTTTGACCGGCAGTGTATATTTATATATATATATATATACAGTAACGGACAAAAGTATATAGACATATATGAATATTTACCTAAATACCTTTAGAAAACGAATTCATACTTCATTGCTCCGTAAACAAATGCGTTGTTCGTAGAAAAACTAAATTCCTTGATTTACACTATCTGCAATGAACACAATACAAGTCTGAATATTAGCACTTTTTTATGAGGGACAAAACTATGTAGACAAATTCTTTTCAACATTACTTTAGTACAGTTTCGTGTCAGAAAAGGATTAGTTTGTGTTCATCAAGTTTGTGGAATAAGTTGAGTGATTTTAAGACCATGACGCGTGGTCCAGAAATTTCATTCGATGTGAAAACTAAGATCATTGAGTTATACAAAGATGGTCAATGTCAAGTCGATATTGCCAAAAATTTGAAGCTGAAGCGTAAAGCAGTTTGGGCAATATTGAACAAATATAAACAAAAAGCTATCTTGGAAGCATCTAAGAGAAGTGGTCGATCTAGAAAATTTAATGCTAGATCAGTTAGATTAATAAAAGTACTTTCGTCCAAAGATCCGTTTAAAACCCCAAGACAAATAAAAGCCGAAATCGAGACAAAAGGAATTGTCAGTGTTTCTAGGAAAACTATAAGTAGAAGATTAAATGATTTAAAGTTATTTGCACGTCGCCCAAGTAAGAAGCCGCTAATCTCGAGGAATAACCGTAAGGACCGATTACAACTTGCACGGTTGCATCTTGATTGGAGCATCTGTGACTGGAAGAGGGTATGTTTCAGTGACGAATCCAAATTCAATATGTTTGGATCAGATGGTGTTCATTACGTTAGACGTCCTAGTCGACAAAGATTGAACCCCAAGTACACTTTGCCCACTGTCAAACATGGAGGCGGGTCTGTTATGGTTTGAGGGTGCTTTTCGGGGTTTGGGATGGGACCTTTACATAGAATAGATGGCATTATGGATAAGTTTGTATACACAGACATACTAAAGCCTATCATGTTACCCTATATGGAAGACAATATGCCCTTAAGATCAATTTTCCAGCAAGATAATGACCCGAAGCACACTTCCAATTTCGCAAAGAAATTCTTTCTGGATGAAAAAATACCAGTTCTCAAATGGCCTTCACAGTCTCCCGATATAAACCCCCTTAAAAATCTATGGGAATACTTAGATAAGCAAATACGAGATAAAACTTATTTAAACAAGGATGAACTTTTTGCCGCTTTAGAGCAAGTGGAGACAGATTGATGGATCTTATATCAAGAAACTTCTACAATCTATGCCGAGACGGTGTCTGGCGCAATATTAATTTGTCTATATACTTTTGTCCATTACTTTATATATACATATATACATTTTTGAAATCAGAATCAAAAGCTCTATTCATATGTGAAAAAATCCTATATACGTTGTCCATTCAAAACAAAGTTGATGCTAGAGGACAAGAGATGAAGCGTCATATTGATATTCTAATTATGCCGCCTTGTAAAGGAGAAACATTTAGGTCTGCCAGAAACTCATTGCCATAAAGAACAATCTTATTTTTATTTGCAGGTTGTTTCCGTGACGATATAGTATTCCTGATCTTCCTTTACCAACGTTGGATCTACCCAGTAGACAAGAAGAGAATGAACGAGTTCGGATTCATTGCCGAACCGGAACCAACGCCTAACGGGGCTATTGAAGCTCTAAAAGAAGGCCCTTCAACAGAAGATACTCCAAAGGAAGACGCGCCCAAACAGCCTGTTGAGTCGAAGAAGAGTCAGTAACAAGACTTCCTATTTGTAGTACAGATATTTAACTACGTGTGTGTGCTACCCGTCACAATTTCTAGCTATATTGAGTTTTTTGTTTTGAAATAAACTCGGATATTCCATTATTATTTCTGAAAGCACCAAAGAATCACCGGTTTTCCTATGTTTCCGAATTTATTGCATTCCTTTACAGACGATAAAGCAAAGTCGTTCTTTGCTGATTATTCTCAAAATAATACGTGAAGCGTATTCTCGTGAATAATAGAGGTATGTCTATTAGGAAACCTGAATAAATGAACATCCATCCTAAAAAAAGATAGAAGGTTTGAAAATCGAAATATATTCTCAAAACGTATTCTTCCGTTATTAAGAGCTAAGAGGACAACATTTGTGCATCTGGTTCTGCAAAATCATAATAAAGACCTACTACACTAATGGAGCAAAATAATGTGGTACGTCCTTTTTTTAGATTTTTGAAGAATGTTTTCATTTTTTTTTTTTGTAAAAAATTCATTTTTTGTGCATTTTATCGTGCATTTTTTCTTCAATCTTAACTGTTAACAAATATAAGGACAGCTCTGAAATTGTGTGTGAATTCTTGAAAACCCAACTTGCTGTGAGACGAGGCAGACATTTCTGGACTCAGGCCAGACGTTTGAAGCTTTGAAATGATTCTCTTAGAATTCCAATATGACCATTTTTACTGAGATACGGCATTTAAAAGCATCGCTAAAATACACAGTTTTTATTTGATCCCTTAATTTTTCCATTAGTGCTTTTTATTATGATTTCACGAAACTATATTCACGAAATTTTTTCCTTTTAGCGCTTATTTAAGTGACATGTTCCTTTTTTTAGATTTTTTTCAACTTTCTGCTTGCAGCAGTATTCTAAATCCTTTTCATCTGTCATAATTTCATGGTGTGTATACAGATGACTAAAAAACAATGTTTTCATTTTTTTTCTATCAAAAGATGTATTTTTTGTGCATTTTATCATGCATTTTTTCTTCAATCGGAACTGTTAACAAATATAAGGACAGCTTTGAAATTGTGTGTAAATATTCCTCTTTTATGGAAGAATGAAACGAGTGATCACTTTTGTTCTTATCACTTTTCCTTTTCGAAAAATCTTTGCTTTTCTTGAAAACCCAACTTGCTGTGAGACGAGGCAGACATTTCTGGACTCAGGCCAGACATTTGAAGCTTTAAAATGATTCTCTTGGAATTCCAATATGACCATTTTTACTGAGATACAGCATTTAAAAGCATCGCTAAAAATACAGTTTTTATTTGATCCCTTAATTTTTCCATTAGTGCTTTTTATTATGATTTTACGAAACTTTATTCACGAATTTTTTTCCTTTTAGTGCTTATTAAAGTGACACGTTCCTTTTTTAAGATATTTTTCAACTTTCTGCGAGCAGTATTCTAAATCCTTTTCATCTATGATAATTTCATAGTGTGTATACAGATGACTAAAAAACAATGTTTTCATTTTTTTTCTGTCAAAAGATGTATTTTTTGTGCATTTTATCATGCATCTTTTCTTCAATCGGAACTGTTAACAAATATATGGACAGCTCTGAAATTGAGTGTGAATATTCCTTTTTTATGGAAGAATGAAACGAGTGATTACTTTTGTTATTACCCTTTTCCTTTTCGAAAAATTTTTTCATTTCTTGAAAACCCAACTTGCTGTGAGACGAGGCAGACATTTCTGGACTAAGACCAGACATTTGAAGCTTTAAAATGATTTTCTTAGAAGTCCAATATGACCATTTTTTACTGATTTTTCAACTTATAGTTTCATGGTGTGAATAGAGATTACTAAAAAACAATGTTTTCACTTTTTTGTCAAAAAATGCATTTTTTTGTGCATTTTTCCTTCTAAAGGAACTTGTTTAAAAATCTACGTACAACTCTGAAATTGACTGTGAATATTCCTCTTTTATGGAAGAATGAATCGTGTGATTACTTTTGTTCTTATCACTTTTCCTTTTCGCAAAATCTTTGCCTTTCTTGAAAACTCAACTTGCTGCGAGACGAGGCTTCAAGAAAAGCGAAGATTTTTTGCCATTGCAATTTTTGTTTATCTTTATTTTGGTCCATGGTCTTGGAAAACCGTTTGAATGGCTCAGTGGAAAAATTTTTTTTGTTCACAGTACTTCCTAGGATTGCGTAGAACCTCTAGCTTCAGAAATTTCTGGACTAATACAAGACATAAGCTTTAAAATAATTCGCTTAGAATCCCAATACGACTATTTTTTACTGAGACACAGCATTTCAAAGAATCGTTAAAAATATACAGTCTTTATTTGATCCTTTAATTTTTTCCATTAGTGCATTAGGCGTTTATTATGACTTTAATGAACCATATTCACGAAACTTTTTCCTTTTAGCTTTTATTAAGGGACGAATACGTTTTTAAGATATATTTCGATTTTCAAACATACTGTATAAAAACTAGATTTTCATGCAGGTAATCCAGGGAATCAAAGCATTTTATTTATTTCAAGATCTGGTAGTATACATATATAGCGCTAATTGTTATTGCACCGTCAATAATGTGTATGTACATGGTAATAATAATTGAGGATGAATTGTATCATCTACGATCTATGAGATATATTATGTTATTTTTTGTTATTTGTGCAGAAGCAGTATTTAATTGTGTCGATCAAAATCGATTTGAAAATAAAGACTTTATTGTGGAATGGTGGTTTCTTTTACCTATTACTCATATAAGGTTCCAGTAATCGATTGAGGTTTGAAAATTTTAAGTCACTAAGGCCCGTATCGTCAGTCGTCCCTACAATTATAGGGCGCCTTTATGGCCTCCTTGATTGTCATAGTTTTCTACTTCTCCGTGTCAGAAGTCTATTTTGAGGTTATGTCACAAACATCTATTTGCATCAAATTGTGATTGCTTTTGAGTTATATCATGTTTTATTAGCCTGAAATTTTCTACAATTTAAAAAGAAAACAGATCTTCACAATAGGAGAGCGCTGACACTGACACGGGACAAGTGTAATCTAGAAATTTTTGAAGGAGAGAAAGGAGGATGACAATCAAGGAGGCCATAAACGCGCCCTACAATTGTAGGGACGACTGACGATACGGGCCTAAGCCCCGAAAACCCTTTCGAACCCCTTAAAATAATCAGGAAGGTTGATTTTTTCATTGCAAATTTAAATTCTTTGTATAAAAGATATAATAAAAATCCAAAAATGTTCGAAAGCTCAAGATAGAAAAATGTATTTAACGGAACCTGTAAACTACAAATGAGTGGCGTACATTTACAAGACATAGAAGTTGTAAAACAAAAAAATACCTCAGATTAGAAAAATATATAAAATCGTTAAACTAGGATTCCCATTGCCAAAAATGCATTTAATTTCAAGTTCGAAGCTGTCTGTTTAACATAACTTGACCAAAAAATACTTCATCTATTCCTCATTGTCTGACAAGGCGGTCCGTAGGCCTTGGTGTCAAAGTACGTCAGTCAGTTTGTTATTCCGTCGGCCTGGTCACATTTTGTGCATGGAAGAATTGTGTGGAATGGTGGAAGAATTATAGTATTACAACACAACAAATATTTTTTGATTGTGTCTATGGGATAGAAATACACTAGTTTGCTATGTGAGGGGTCTGTAGCTAATTCAACAGCAGAAGAGCGGTGACGTCTGATACTGGAATAGAGCGTTGGGCTCCCACAGTTCAAATATCAACGTTTAAGTGAAGAACCATAAATGGAAGCACATGTAGTTGAATACACTGGGCGGAACACATCAAAATAACTCTGATGTGGGTGCCAGGACATTGAGGAAATGAAAGGACGGATGAGCTAGCAAGGAAAGGATCATCCACACCCTATACGGAACCAAGTCAAAGAATGGGTAAGAAACCAGCACAACGAACATTGGATCTGAGCGACTGAATGCAGGCATGGTAAATAATTCATCTCGGGATCATGTCCAAATAAGACTGCGGACCTGCTTATAGAGTATAAACCAACTCTGTGCAGTTACAGAACTTCTAACAGGACATAATGACCTGAAAGAGGTGCAGATAATGCGGAGAAAGGAACAGAATTGGCCCTACATGTCTTATATAGGCACTGGATCACAAAAGACATCCACTCCTCGGGAAACCAAAACTAGAACCGAGGGAGCTTAGAACAGTACCGACAGGGGAACTGTACCAACCGATACAGAACACTAGACTGCTGGATTGGGTACTACAAACCTTAGAAGCCGCAGTGCCATCGAGGACTTTGGTCGGACGGTTCCCGAAAAGGATAAAAAGCACATGTGGCATGAAATAATTAAGCTAACATAAAACTGTCTTTTTAACAAATTATCACAATAACACTCTTATTGAGCAAAATGTTTTTCCGCATTTCAGGTTCTCAAAATCGAGGGCTAATAAAAAATGTCCCTTGTCTTAGAGATTCCAGAATACCTACCGAAATTAATCTTCAGTTTAAAATCTAGAAGTCGTTGAAATCAATAAGAAATCGAAAAGGTGATGTGTAATATATCGTACTGATAATTTTCTATAAAGAAATGATCACATATAGCGTTGCCACAGTATAAAAAGTATATAAGTGTATTTTCTGTAGTTTACTTATAACTTGTATCCAGGATTAATTATAGAATGGCCAAGAGAAAATCTCTATAAGTACATCATTGGTCGTAGTTTGTAGGTACATTGTCAATTTCATCCAGAAGCCTTGTTTCAAAGAAATCTTCAGAAACTTGAAATCACTCGATGATGACAGGAGACATTTTTTTAGAACCGGTGCATAGTCGTGATCCTTTCTGATCTACCCTGTACAGTGGGCCGAGTCGCATACCTCGCGAATACCTCGAAGAGATCAAGCGTGCTGGACACCAGACCACGGGAAACCAGAATCCGAGTTCGCGGACCAGAACGTTACGCTATAGGCCGGTGACATTATGTCATTTCATTTCAAAAAATTATGTAGTACCAGAACGTAAACATGTACAGTTTGCCCAACTACACCACGGTTCTTCTTCGTCGCACTGAATGGAGATACAGCAAAGCTTGCTCCCACTCTTGTCTATTTAGACGCCTTATAAACCAGGATCTTCGTTAGAAGACCTTAAGTTTGTTGAATGTCAACTTGATCAACAAAAGATATCAGGTAGATTCTGCACAATTCTGGTCAAGCGACATGAATTCTGACGAAGTATCCGAGTCAACTTCTGTATACTCTGATGGTATATTTATTATTCGATGGCTATGAAAATCGTGTTGTTGATTTAAAAAATTGAAATAATTGATGCACCATGTACATTATCTGAGTCAACTTTTGCACGGCCTGGTATTTTCATTATTTGTCAGCAATGGAAACCGCTTTTTTAAAAATAATTGGGCTTGACTAGTGGCTGCAGATATTTAGATATTTCACGAATTGTGATTTTGTAATTGGTATTTCTAAATCACGAATTACGACTGTCACAAAATACCGTGAAAAGCGAGACGTGATCACACGTTAGGGAACTGAGTGTACCACCGTACGACTACTATCGGTTGCAAGCGATATCGTGCTTTATAGGTTTTGATAAATAACCAGCTTCATGTGACTTTATCGCGGCATTTTCCCCCTAAAATGCATTCTTAAAGGTCATGTTTAATCGTAGAATTTTCCGCTCGTTCCATTACCGGAATCAAAAGTAGGGGTTTACATTTAGAATTTTAAGGTTGGACTTCAAACAATCTTCAAGGTCAAAGGCAAGGTCTAATCCATGGTCACCGACCGATAGTTGAGAGAAAATCCTACAAATTTTATCAGAAGCATTTCCTCCTAAAATGTATTTCCAGAGAGTTATCAAACTGTTCCGTTACTTTGGCCACACCCTGTATTAGATAAAAAAACAGATATCATTTTCAAAATTCTTCACGATTACAATATTTCCTCGCCGGTGGCGCGAGAAGTAAAATTGAAAAAAAAAAACAAAACGCGCTCCAAGCAACTACAAGCATTGATTCCTGCGCTCCTCCCCTAACCCACTTACAACAAAACTACACTTATTATGAATAGTTTTTTATTTTTCTACATAATTCCTGCTAACATCAACACACCAAATCTATGCTCTAGAGTTTCCCCTCGTAAAAAAGTGATACTAAGGCTTAATGGCTGTTCGAGTATCAAAAACTCGAACAGATTACTGCGGCTGCGTTTCCTACAAGAACTGCAGCATAACAAGTACCAAGAGCACCCAAAGAAGGGGAACCTTTGCGGATCTTAGCTAGAGAACCACCGGTACCTATCAGCCATCAGCGGTGCCGCGACTTCTTCGGCAATCGCGCCGCGCGAATATCGAGCAAGCCGTGCTAGCTTGCGCGAAGCGTTTTCGTTTTGTTTTTTCGGTCACGGCTGGCCGCGATGGACCAGCGGCCGCAGTTCCGGTATTGATAAAACAAGTGACGGTGCCATGGCAGGAAGTATCAAGTGTTCTATGACACAGAGGGACTCCCTTGTTAAAAGTGTATTTGTTTAGTAACCTTAGGGATATTGGGACAGGTGTAAAAAGACGAGAATTTTATTAGTGCTTTAGTGTGAATTGTAGAGGATATTGTTGCAGCTGCAAAGGTTTGACTACTTTCCCAAGGTAAGGCTTATTATAATTGAGGAATATAACAGAACGATCCATTTTATCGAGCCTAAAAAAACGCGTCAAGTAGATTGACTCGGCACTTCATACGCAACGCTGTTATCAGTTCATAAAGGACACAAAATAGCCCCCTTGAGAAAAAAGTTAGGTATGAATGTATAAAGCAAAAAAAAATAATACAGGGTGGGTGTCTTTGAAGTTGAGTCATTAATTTTCAGATAATGATTGTAGAAGGAAGATAAACCAAAATATGTGTGTAAGAATAAAAAAAAAAATAAAAAAAAAATTTACCTTGTTTTATAAAGTATCCTCCCGTCAAGTATTTCAGTGCGGACCTGTATTTGATCGTGAGGTCTTGGAGCACCAGCATGCCGACCATATGTGAGGTCTTAAGTCAAATGATTCACGAACCCGTTGTACTACATTAACAAAGGCACGAGGGGTTGGTTGCACTCGATTGGGAAACCGATCCGCATAAACATGTGCCATTTTTTATTTCGTTTGAGCCACGCAACAGACACCACTATTCACTACCGACTGACACTGACTGTATACAACTGAATGAAATAATTGTAAAAACATCGTTCCAAATTCTTTCGCTTTTTTGTTTCCGATGCGATGAACCGATAAGGCGGATTATATCCGTTGTCGTCAAACACGAGCACATAATATTATTATTGAGACAGGCCGGTACTCAAACTTCCAAAGGGCTATAACTTTGTTACTTTAATTTTACCAGAAAAATGGTAAAGGAAAAAAACATTTTTTTTGATCAGATCTAATCACTGTTAAAATAAATGACTCAACTTCGAAGTCACCCTGTAGATAGTCAGTTAATTAGGCCTATATAATTAATCGATAGTACCCACCCATTTGACACGTTGCGATCTAGACATTTATCCCCTATCCATATTTCCGAACAACTGGTAACCTTGCTATGACTAACCTCGTCATTCCCCAGCCAAGCTCCAGGACATCACGCCTCGAAACAGGTGTATCGGCGTTAGATGCATTGCGTGAGACGCGTGTATTTAATATATTTCTGTACCATTCTAGGTTTCAAAGGAAAATGTAAGGGGAAAACTATGGTGTGTGAAATATGTCTGACAGGTGCGCAGAATTACCGGAGCTTAAAACATATATAGATATACTACCGCAAAAAAAAAAGATTTACCCTTCCCCCTCACAACTCGCAACCCCAAATTTATAACCTCTACACAATCTTTTCTAAAAATGGTTAGGATCCTCTGAAAAGTCAAAAAACGGAGTTTGATCGACTTTTAATTCTCTCATTTTTTTGCCCATACCTCTGCTGCCACTGGATTGATTTTCAAAAAACTACAAGTGTTTTCGTCCTTGGAATAGTAGTAACCTTGTGTCAAAATTTCATCAAATTTCATCCGGTACTTTCCAAGTTATAGCGGGGTCAAGGGTAAGCGGATAGAGAGACCGACAGACAGACCGACGAAAATGAGTGACATGGTTTTTCATCATGTACTCATACATATCACACAAAAAAAAATAGTATCTCATTTTCTAACTTTTTCGTGATTACAATACTTCCTCCACAGTGGCGTAGGAAGTAAAACGAGTCAAAGAGTGTGTTACATAACTTTTGATTTCTTCTAAAAACCATGTGATATGTCTAACAATAAGGTTCTGAACTTTTCATAATATAGAGGAAACTTTCTGACTCAATTTTATTCAGAGATACGTTTTTTTAACATGAATTAAGAGGTTCACGAGCAGTAAACAAATCACAAAAAAGATTTATTACACTAAACAAGGTTTCTTTAGTTCTTTTTGAACATCCTGAGCAAGAAAGGTCTTCATCTAAAGTTGACCGTTATCGAGCGATAGGCATTTTAAAGTCTGAAAACTTCTAAAACATGGCTATCCCCAATACTTTAAACTCGTTTCCAAGTGCCTGAATTAAAGACCAAATCTTCCCTTACAAGAAATCTAAGAGCATTTCGGTGTCTCGCTGTCACAAAATAAGTTCTTAGCTAACATGAGCCATTTTTCTGCCAGATTTCATGTTCGCAGGTTCATAGGTCAAATAGTCTTTAAAGTACTGCGATTAATGGCTCTGCTGCAAAATCCGTTCCTGGCTGAATTTCTTGTTCATAGGCCAAACCGTTTTCGACCTAAATTTTCTATAAAGCTGACATGAAAAGTGATAAATTCAACAGCTGCAAGGGGTGGAATTTACAAAATTTCTGTGTAAGTACCTAATTAGGTTATGCCAAGGAACCAAATATAAAAACCCACTCATATACCCATTCTAACCTTTATACACTATTTCAACCCCTTATACTGGCTCCTTATACTGGCATCTCAGTTCTTTTTTTGAAAAACGTTCAGACCCGTCGATTTTGTTTTCGAGGGGGACACCAGTTTGGCAAATAATCACGTTAGCACCCCCAAGCGGGGGTGACACCACCCCCAAAATCTTAAATGGAAAGGGGGGTAGAGTGATACCTTATTTTAAAGGTCTTTCAATTCTCTTTATAATGATATAAAATTAATGTACTTCAGTTCAGTAGTTTTGAAGATTTATTGATTTAAACCTTAAATAAAACTAATACATCATCATTAGTGGAGATCAATACATTTGGCAGCAAAGTAATTTAAAAATGAAGAATGAACTGTCCCGTTAGGCAAGTAAATGTTGAAAATGGCCACCATGACTCTCCATGCAATAATAAAGATTTTGCTCAAAACGTTGCCGCACATTTTGCAATATTTGAGGAGTAATTTGAAGACACTCATTCACAATTCTTTGTCGCAGGTCTTCTAATGATATTGGCTGAGCAGCATAGATTTTGCTTTTTAAATGACCCCACATAAAGAAATCCAAAGGTGATAAATCTGGCGATCTAAATATTGTCGAACACGTAATGCGTAATGTGGTTGGCACCATCCTGTTGGAACATCAACCTATTCGCAATGTACCGCCGATCATTCTGATTTTCAATTATGGCTGTTAATGCAGGATCTATGGCGTCTTCCAGTAATTCCAAATACATTTCACCGGTCAAATTTTCAGGTAAGAAAAAATGACCAACTAAATGATCGCCAAAAATACCAGCCCAAACATTTAATTTTTGTGGCTGCTGTGTATGAACCTCATGATAAATTCTGGGATTAGAATCGGACCAATATTGGCAGTTATGACGATTTACTACGCCATTTAAGAAAAAGGAACATTCGTCGGAAAAGCAAGTGTTGAATAGAAAATGTTCATCGTTTATAATTCGTTCACTCATATCTTCACAAAATTGTAATCGCCGATCAAAATCGTCTTCATTAAGTTCTTGTACCAGGTGAATTTTATACGGATGAAAACTATGGGCCTTTAGAATCCGTTGGACAGTACGTCGACTATCACCACAAACAGTCTCCAATTTGCGGATACTTAACGTAGGATCTACATAAACTTCCCTAAAACCCCCACTTCTATTGCTTCGTTCCTTATGGGATTTTCAATGTTGCGTTTTTTATTGGCGACTGACCCAGTTTCCCGAAATTTAGCTAAAAGTTCTAGAACATATTTTCGATGCACGTTACCGTTCTCATGTCGCTCATTAAATATTTCTGCTGTTCTATTAGCGCACTGATTATTTCCGAAAAATATTTCGATAATTTCAACTCTTTCTGCTGTGGAATATAACATGGTTAATTTATGCAATAAAGCGTTACAAGTTATTTTAGCAACAAAGTTTGGTCAAATCAATCGCAAACTATGTACTAAATTCCTATTTAAAATAAGTACGAGATATTTCCTTATCTTTCTTCAAGAAATAACTTTTTTGCCACAAAAAAACGCTCCAATAGCTATTTTCAACAACAAAATGATAAACGAACCATGGGCGTAGTGAAGAAAAGCATTTACTTATTAAGTAAATTCTTTTAGTCAAATTTCTTCTGTAAGTAGTACAAAGTAATCTGATGTACCTATTAAAGTCTACTTTAAGCTTTAAATCAATAAATCTTCAAAACTACTGAACTAAAGTTCATGTATTTTACATCATTATAAAGGGAATAGAAGTACCTTTAAAATAAGGTATCACTCGACCCCCCTTTCCATTTAGCTGCACATGTTAACGTGATTTTTTGCCAAACTTGTGTCCCCCTCGAAAACAAAATCGAGGGGTTTGAGCGTTTGTCCAAAAAAATGAGCTGCCAGTAAATGCGTGTTTGGTTTTCGATGTGCCACCCTGTATGTTTAAATAATCAAAATCGGTTGAGCCGCACTTTTCGCATTTTGCCTTTATAATATACGTGCTGTAGAGAAAGTAGGGATTATATACGCTAGGGACACTTGATAAAAAAATTTAGATCCGTAGCTGCTATAAGGAGCTTAAATAGTTTTTGTTGATCTGATACTTGCACTGCCTAAGGCTAGTAAAACTGGGAAAAGCCTGCTCAGGGAGATTGTTCCACACTCTCGATGACCTAGGAACAAAGGAGCGGTCGTATCGCCCAGTCTTAGATGTCGATCCGGTTAAGATGACTTATCGCGCGGCGGCATCATGGAGAAGAGCTCTGAGGAGCATAGCCCGTTGATATAGCGGTAGAAGAGAGCTAGATCGCCCTGTCGGTGCGAAAAGGTCCATTAGAGCCCTCCTCTGAACTGCCTTGAGCATGGATAATGTAGTCGGTGCGGAAGCACCCCAAATATGTGAACAGTAACAGTACTCGAGACTAGGTCTTATCTGGCCCTTGTACAGAGTGAGGTTATGTGGAGAAAAGCTCTAAACAAATACCTACGCGAAATGATCGGATCTTTGGCAAAACTTGGCCTTCAATGGAAACCGGATGAACGTAGGGCTCTTCTTGTTAGTCACGGTACAGTACCATGTTTTTGGAAGCGGTGCCAGATTATTGCGTGGATGCTAATCTTCCTCTCTCCAGCTCACCGGCAGAGATCACATAGGTACAGAGAATAACAATGAAAATGAAATCATTGCATAAATATTACACTCAAACTGTAG